GCTGCCATCCCCCACCCTCCCCTGCCACCGAACCACCGCGGCCCACGACCCATGGACCACGACCGAGAAGGTTTCCAACTTATTGTGCACCGTGCGCTATCGACTCTCAAGCGCCTAGGCGACAAGTCAAAGGGCGGCGAGCCTCTGGTCAAGGGCGTGCAGCAAATGAACGGACACATGGACCACGACAGTATGGATGAGGACGAGGACGAGGACGACATGGAGATTTTCAGTTTCAACGGCAGTTCATGGAGGGTGAAAGCCGACATTCTACCCCGCAAGGAGACGCTACTTGGTGCACTGTTGACAGCGCAACTCGACGTTCGCAGTCTAAATCAATTCTGTAAGATTGGATATTTGGACGAGTAAAGGAAAACGAAGGATAAACTTTTATTGGGAAATTTGGGTTGCTCCGGAGGTTTGGGGTGGGGGGCTGGAATAGAGATGCCTTTTGTTTCTAGGAGTATTTTCAAAAGGGCCCGATTTTTTGGGGGGTTTCTGCTTTGCATAGTGTGTATGTGTATGTACGTTTATCCGAGTGTTTTGCGTGTCTTTACGTCTGTGTGTGTGTATAAGCTTTGAGGGAAGGTGGATGATGTGCGGATACATACACATTTGCATTGGCTTGCATTCTTGAGATTTTCTTTTTCTTCTTATTACTATTCAGTCGTCGTACTATCACAGAGTGTACCTATCTATCTACTTGCTGGTTGCGTTCGTGGAAGGAGCGATGGAGGGGTCTTCTCCTTACGCGTCATTGTAATGTCTTTTCCAGCCACGCACACAAGTCTCTTAGCTCGGCGCCGCTCATGACATGACCCATGTTTTCATACTCTTTGATCGTCGTCTTTTCTTCTTTGATGCCAAGTTCGAAGAGCCTCTCGTAGCATAATCGATGATGCCGTTTAGGGACCAATCTATCGCCTGTTCCCCTCGCTAGGAAGACATTTACTTCATCGTTAACGTCCTTTGGTAATCCGGCATTTTCTCTCAGCGCTGATATACGCTCGGATAGTGGAAGATAGCCCGATAGCCCGAATAGACCTCCAAGCCTCCCTGAATATTTCGATACAAGCCCAGTCAATAAGGCCATAGCATGGCCCTGGGAGAAGCCGCCCACAATGATCCTCTTCTCCGGCACACCTTGCGCGACAAGGTCATCAACTAAACTCGTAATATAATCTATTGAAGCCATAACCCCTTCCTCATCTTCATCATCCTCGAGTTCCGGGCGTGAAGGTGGGTACGGAGATAGGCGCGTAGGCACGTACCACGCTGTGGATGCAAGATCATGGTTCTCAAGGGCATTGGGAAGGACCCAAGTCATGTGCGGTAGTTTTTGTGCAGATTGAAATTGGCGCACTATGCTTTCTAGGCCTAATGCATCATCGCCGAAGCCATGGATGAAGATGATGGCGGAGGATTCGGAGGGGCCGCTTGGTGGGATTGCGGGAGGGATGATTATGGGTGGTGTTCTTTCGGGTGGCATCGTCTATTCTTTGAAGAATGGTTCAGATACTATGAGGTGATAGCATATAGGCCGAAATAATGCGATCAGCATTTAGTTTAGTCCGGATGGTATATGTACCCCACATGGTTGGTTATATATGCAGGTACGGATACGATGTGGGTTCCGGCGCATTGACATGTGATGAATTCCCACCTAACCAGCCCCAACTCGCCGCAACGTCACCTTGCCCAACCCCACCGCCCACGATGCCGCACGTCGAGGTGCTCCCAAACTCCGCCACCACGGTCGCGCCGGGATGGACGTACGTTGTAGATACCGGATACGACCCCTCCAAAGTCGCCATCAACCCAAAGAACAAGAAGCGCGCCGCAGCAGCAACGCCTGGCGGTCAACGCGGCGAAAATGAACTCTCAGCACGCCAGCAGACCGCCATAGCCCGACGCATCGCAGAGCTGGAACGCGACAACGATCCCAAACAAGCCATTGCTATCCCCGGGAAGCCTGCCGTGCCCAAGACGCAGAATGCACGCAGAATCATACAGTACCAGCGCCAGATCAAGCACTGGCTCGACGACGAAGAAGCGCAGCTAGGCCTCGTAGCAACCGCATCGCGAGCAACAGCTCAGCCCTCACGGAAACAAAGCATATACGCCTCCGTACCCGCCACACCCATCGAGCCCGTACCCGCGACCCCGGCTATAGCGCAGACCCCTTCGCGCCTTGACGACACAAACGCAGACGACGACGACGCGCTGCTTTCCGTCGATCGCGCCATGCCGGCCCCGCTTAATCCTGAAGAGATGGAGGCTTTGCTGGCTGCGCCCCCGCTTTCATATGCTGCGAGCCATGTTGCGGCGCCTCCGGCGGGTGCGGCGCCGCAGAGGCAGTTTTGCGATAATTGTGGGTATTGGGGGCAGATTAAGTGTCGGAAGTGTGGTGCGAGGGTTTGTGGGTTGGAGTGTAAGGATGCGCATGAGGCTACGAGGTGTTTGAAGTGGGCTTGAAGATAGGAATCAGTTGGAGAGAGGTGTTTGGATCTGCTGAGATCTTGTGATTTGCTCCGGATTCATATTTGCCTTTGACAAACTTATCACTCGATTTGTAGAGCTGCACCGGATTTTCTGGATTCTTTGCCGTCGGTTGTACCTACGACGCTGTATTCCCATCATGGAAAGATGCACTGTTGCACTTGTCCAACCTTGGACCGGATGTGAATACAGCACGCGTAGCGGACGTTTTCATCGGAGGGTTTGAAATCAAATCCATGCAACTGGCCAAATGGTTGGACCTCCGAAATCTACTCGTCTGTGAGGAGCACAGCTATTCTTTTTGAGATGTAGATTATATTCAAACTACCTTAGGTTATCGACACGAATTACCACGGATACCCCGGTCGTAGCTCGGTGTATTGGCTATGCTGGATACTTCGGAAACAGCAACTTCGACATGATCAGATCAGCGAAGAGGAATTGGCCAACATGATCAGACTTCACGGAGCTGATTTGACCGGCTGCAGCTTGCACCTTGGATGTGCGACATGTTGTATACTGCAGTTATCGAGGCGAGTGCAATTTTGCTAGCTACAGGCGAAGGATGAGACTGTTGTCAATGTAGTAGTAAGAGGGGATAGCACTTTAGATCTATAGCCTGAAATATTCTGTTCGATTCATAGTGGCAGAGAATAGTATACTTCTTAATGCTTATCTATGTTTGCATACAAACATGCAAGTCATATCGTTCAGTCTTGATCTCAACCGTGATCCTCGCTACCACATGTACGTTTCACTGTTCAGTTGAGTAGTGCATCATGAGTAAAGCAAACGTCAAATCGACTATCGAGACTCACAGAGCTATCAGATACACACCTACTGCGTCTTGTTCGCAAATGCCTGATTAAGGAGGACTGCATATGTTCCTCTTGTGCAGAGGTGCGTTAAAGATGCGCAGTTCATCGAGTGTCAGCTGGGCACCTACACTGCGCAACTACGCACTCAAGATTATCGTTTAAGGCTTTATTTTCTATCCTCACAGAGTACTTCCACATATCTACGAGATCGCACCAATATATCTAGGAAGAATCTTTATTCGTAGCGCTTATGCTTTACATTGGTGAACCCGAGCCCACACGCCAAACCAGCTACTTACAACTCCATCTCCGCCATCATCTCTCCGCAAACCAAGCAACACAAACATATTGCTTAACCCGCTTAAACCAAATTAACATCCCTTCCCTCTTTACCAGCTATTACCGCTGTACAAGAAGAGTGCACAAGCCACACCCCTCGTACCACTTTCTCCAAACACCCCCACATCCCTCCAACCAAACTCTCCCAAAAGTCCAATTATCCATACCGCCTTACCAAAGAACAACCACATAAACCCAAATACAAACATGCCCAGAAACCTAAAAAAAAATACTCATTACGCACAGCTTTGCTGCACGCCCATCACCCCTAGTTCCGCCCTGCCCTGCCCTGCCCTGTTTTACATAACTTTACCCCTCCTATGTCCAACCCCCCTCCAAACAAAAAAAACCCACCCACACCCCGCCATGTCCGTTTTTGCTACTTGCCCCTCAATTCCCTTCTGCCCCTCTGATAGTGCTGCAATCTACAGCCCCCAGTGCCAAAGTTTCCCCTTTGAGTAGTTGCACGTTCTGCGGGGTTCACACAACAATGGTTCCAAGTTGCCAACTTGCACACCTCTCGAAAGTTGCAGTTTTTGTCAAAATGGTGACATAGTGAAATTTCTTTATTTCCCCCCAAAAAATATACGCGTTGAAAATTCAAAGTAAATTAACTTGCACTGCATCAACGCATATTTCTCTATACATACAAAAAGAGTTGTAATCATGTTACCTTGTTTGCTATGCAGCAGCAAAGCAAGGCTGACTGGATGGGAAGAAGAGGTGCATCTGGCAACAAAAAAACAATCACTGTTGTCCCGTGCCAGACTCGAACTGGCGGCCTTGGGATATCTACTAGAGACTAGTAGTCATATTGTGAAGGATATGAGACCCACGTGATAACCAACTACACCAACGAGACGATTCAAGCTATGCTTGAGTTGGGGAGGATTGATGAACGTCGTTTCAAAATGAAAATAAATATCCAAAGCGAAAATAACAGAAAACGACGAATCGCCTTGACGTAGGTAGACGGCGGTCGTGAAGGTGGGGCAACAAGAGCTTGCAAGAAGAGGGGTTGATGGGAGCTAGTATCATGATCTGCAGATTCAAGTCAAAGAGGGAAGTATGTATCGAGGAAATAAACAAAGTTACTTTTGGAGGTATTACAAATTATATCATAGCACATCGACTACATAACTGTATGCAAAAGAAAGAAAAAAAAGAGCCGGATCACAGAGTAACATGCTGTGTTTACAAGAAACGACCTTTTCTTTTGCGCCACTCTGCGATGTTTTAAAAAAACTCCATACTTGATGCAACGAAGGAAGAAAGAAAAAATGCCAATGAGCTGGTCTAGTTTCAGATCTAGGCTCAGAATGTATACTTTGGATTGTCGTAGAGCTATGGACCAAGACGTTGTCCCACATCCGGACTCCTGGGGCCCAAGGGGATGCCTGTTGTAGGGAGGACACCGTACCGACCATATGTCTTCTGGTCTACACTGACGTAATGCGGGAGTCGTCCTAATAAGTTGAGTTTTGTTTCGATCCACCGGAGGATCTTCTCGTGTGGGACGAGGAACTTGATGTAGCCGGTTGCCCAGAGGTAACCGAGGCCTGCGCCGCAGAGGTGGCCGACGAGGCTGACGTAGGGGACGAGGATGCTGGTTATGACGATCAGGATGAGGGGGGTTGTCCAGGTGGGGATCTTGTAAGGTCCGACACTACCGTGGGGTTAGTGGATGGGATGTGGGAGATTAGAGGGGAAGGTACCTGAAGTAGGGATTTGTCTTTTGTGTCTTCATTACTTCGGCCGAGAGGAGGAGGAACACCCATACACTGTATTGTGTTAGTACTACAATATAGCCCGGTATGAATTGATCCACATACCTCGCACCCATGACGGCGGTGTTGCTCCTCAGAACGAACTTCTCTAACAGTGTGTATACGCCTCCGGGTATGGTCCCAAAAGCTGCCATATGGTCAGCGTCAATGCTCGATTATACCATGACTAGTCTTCTTACGCCCAGTGAACAGTGCCAATGTAACAAGTGTTCCGTATTCCGACTCGAAGCGCTCAATCAGTGGCGTGACTGCGAAGAGATTGAAGATCATATGGATGAAGTTCCAGTGTAAGACGGGAAACAGGTTAAGTCGGTGCACTGTACACATATTCTATTAGCATTACATCCAAACTAATCTTCAGACAGGCCGCGCCGTATTCCAACTCTTGTATCTTCGGATAATAGTCGCACATCAACCCTTCGAGTTCCTAGTTCTCCATCGCAACCGACGGGCTTCCGGAAGCGCCGCAATCCGCCACCAAAGTGCAAGCGACCAAGCCCTACACATTCTCTGCCTGGGAATCGAGAAAAGCACATACTCTGCGTAAAGTTCATCTTGGCAGGTTCCAAGCGCCCAACGTCCCGAATCCAGGGAAATGGAATAGTAGCGATCCATAATCCGACAATGGCGGCGACGACGACCTTTGTGCAGAAGGGCAGGCGCAGGATATAGGAACGTATGCGCGCGGGGTTGAACTGGGGCAGCGAAGGCGCAGGCATGATCGGAGCGCGTTGTTGCTGCTGCTAATGCTACTGCTGCTACTGCGCGGGAAGACGAGCGGACACGAGATAAGTACGAGACTAGGGTCCAGGCCCGCGTTGCACTAGTGTGATCCTCCCGCCGCGCTCGACTGGACCACCTTCCCAGACAGATTGCCTTGGAATGCTGGGCCGCCAGGAGGACACGACTCCTATTCTTTCTTCTGCTTTCTCACAGAGGTGCAGATCAAGGCGCCACCATGGCATTGCTCTGTAAGTGCGGCGATTCGTATCAAATAAGAGGGGTCATTGCTAACAAGCCAAGCATCACTACTGGCGCTCCGGCAAGACAAACGCCTGCTAAAGATACCGCCCTATCTTTCTGCTCTCCTAGTCATTGTCGGCATAGGATGGTTGCTGGTACTTCCACTGAACGAGTACTCGCGAAGGACATATATATCGGAGAATGCGCTGCTTCCGGGACAGGTACATACGTACTTTACTGGCAGTGAACACAACGTCTTCCGCGCCTATCGCCATGAGGTCCACGCCTTGAAAGACAGCCCAGTGCCAGAGTAGGTCAATTCGCCCCGACAGACAGACCAAAGAAGCTGACTGTGCCACAGGCGATCCCAGAAGCTCGAGGTCATCTTCCGCGAACAAAACCTCAAGGTTGCGACCCAGCACTACAACTATACCGTCTCGAACCGCACTATCGCAAACGAAAATGTCTATGCCATACTCCAAGGCCCTCGCGCTGACGCTACCGAAGCCATTGTGCTGATCGGAGCCTGGACAAACATGGAAGGCGAGATGAACAACTCGGGCGTCGCATTGGTTCTCACTCTCGCACGCTACTTCAAGCGCTGGAGCCTATGGAGCAAAGACATTATTTTCCTTGTTACTGGAGATAGCACAATTGGATCCCAGGCCTGGGTTGATGCATACCACGAAGGACACGACAAGCAATATGTAGAGAGTTTGAAGATCAAGAGCGGGGCATTACAAGGAGCTGTTGCGGTTGACTATCCCGCTGGTCCATGGGGCCACCGCTACGATAAGCTGCATGTTGTGTACGATGGCATCAACGGGCAGCTTCCCAATCTCGATTTGATCAACACTGCGGTCCAGATTGCATCTGGTCAACTAGGCATTGGCTGTGTTATTCAACGCATGTGGAATCACGGCGATTCCTACAAGGAGCGCCTGCAGACGATGCTTCGAGGCATGCTTTCGCAAGGTCTTGGCCACGCAACCGGACCTCACTCCTCATTCATTCCGTACCATGTCGATGCCATTACTCTGGTGACAGTCGGAAATGGCTGGCATGACGAGATGTCGCTTGGAAAGACGATTGAATCGCTGTTCCGCAGCTTGAACAACCTTCTCGAGCATTTCCACCAGAGTTTCTTCTTCTACCTCTTGTTGCAGGATAAGCGGTTCGTTAGTATTGGCACATACCTGCCATCTGCCATGATGATTGCTATCAACTTTAGCATCGCCGCAATGGCACTCTGGGTCAAGAGTGGACGGGTTTCAGAGCCCCTTGAAAATCCCGCAGCTACAAAGCCCAAAGCTACAAAGCCTAAACCAGCTGATTCCAAGTCGAGCTCGGCTGAAAAGGACGCTTCTGGAACGGACAAACTAGATAAGGAAGATCTCGAGAGGGAAGAAAAGGAAGAAAAGGAGGAAACCAAGGAAAAAGAATCCAAGAAGGAAGAACGTGCCACAAAAGTCATCAAAAAAGACGATTCTATCGCCGTCGTCCCCACCGCTGCAACAAAAGTAACAGAACGCCACCTCCTCCCACCCCTGGTCCTCGTCCTCGTCGCCCACGCAGTTGGCCTCGTCCCCCTCTACCTTTTCAGCAACTGGGACGCAGACCACCTCCCTGGCCTCTTCATCACAGCCTGCAACATCACCACCATCCTCCCCATAGGCGCTACTTTCCTCTTCTCCTGGTCCGCTCCCGAGATCCTCAACCCCCAGGCTCTGTGTCTCCTGCAATGCTTTTCTTTGCTACTGCTAGGAATGTTCCTTGCTGCGCTGGCCACGCTGAACTTCTCGCTCAGCGTTATCGTCGGTGTGGCATGTGTCCCGCTTAGTTTTGTGCGCAAGACCACGCATAATGGGGCTACGGCTTTGCAGTTACTGCTTCTTGCGCTTTTGAACCCTTGTTTGATTGTGCAGACGGGGACAAGGCTCCTCGATGCGGATTTGATGGAGGTGCTGGTGCAGAGTGCGATTGGGTGGCATGTTTGGGGTATGTGGACGCAGGTTGTGTTTTGGTTGGTTTGGTTCCCCGCGTGGTTGGTGGGTGCGGTTGTTGTTGGAACAGGTATGTGGGATTATTAGAACGATGTATGCTGTTAGGTTCAAAAGGTAGAAGGTGTATTTGTATAGTACGCTGTGACCGAGAAGGTCTAGAGATATCATCACGGAGATGGTGGAATAATCAAAAGATACAGTATTCGTGTCGTGATGAGTCCTTTCATTCGTCAATCGTGTCAAACTACGACGCCGATTATCTATGATTACATAGTGTGAGTCTCCTATACAGCTATGAGGTGTCATGCCTCAACGGATTGGAGACTGCCCTCTTATTTTTTTCCAATAAGGTTCTGGGTGGATGTGACAGGCCAGGGCCATACCCCACTCAAGCAGCCCACACGTCTTTGCCTACACCCTCGATCCAGTTGCCCAGCTGATTGACGCTGGCGTCCCACTCCTTGAGACGTGTCCTCATACCCTCAATCTGCTTCATATCCAGCACCTTTGGTTGTACCCAGTTGATGCGCGCAATCTCCGCCACCTGATCAATCTGACCCTTCAACAAGCCCAAGCTCAGCGCCTTCATGATCAAATGCTCAATCTCGTTGGGCTGTACCTTGGTCTCTTGAGAGATCTCGGAAAACGTCATGGCGCGGTCGTGTGGTGGGCGGCGGAAGACGGTCTCTGTAAGGGCAGAGAGAGAGATCTTCTGGTAGAGGAAGGTCTGGTGCTCTTTGAGAAGCGGGACCTTTGTAATGTTGTTCGAGAGGACATCGTAGGCCATTAAGTCGCCCCGGTTGAAGGCAAACAAAAGATCGCGCAGCCATGCATGTGGGGTATTGACCAGTGAGTCGAGGATAGGATGCAGCAGCAACTCTCCAAAGTTGTAGATGGAGTCGGAGACAAGCGCGGCAATGCTGAGATCGTATGCGCGGGACTGGCGCTCGCGGAGTTCGAGATCGTTGAGGTCGACACAGGCGAGGAAAAGCAATGCGTTCTTGTAGTATGCGGCGAACTCATGCTTCGACTTGTAGTACTCGGCGCTTGCACGGTAGAATGAAGCATGGACAACAGTCTCCACTGAGTCGAACTGATCGATTATTTGCTCACACTCATCGAGCTTCTTCTTCGCACCCTCTTCGTCCCGTAACCGTAGCTGTATGCTGGCAGCAGCGACTGTGGCGTATACGTAGGCGTCTTGTGAGGCTGGCTTGTTGACGCTCTTTGCGAGTTCGTTGACAAATGCGAGGCGCTCCTTGTCATCTGCTCAAGTCAGTGCTGGCAATTCATTGGTCCCAGACTGTTTTGACCTACCCTGGTACTGTGATGCTGCGTTCAGGCCCAAGGTGACGAGCTTGAGCTGGTTGATCTTGTTGGCGAATGTCTTGATGAAGTTCTCAAAGAAGGGTATCCTCTGTTTTGCGCTTCCGGGATGATCGAAGAATTCGATAAGCTTATCTGTCAGTTCGTGCCATAGCTTCCGCTCCCAAAAGTCCTCAAAGGCGATGAAGTACTCCTGTAGCTCCTCCGGTGCCTCGTCCCGCGCGTCGCCCAGAAGGTTTGGGATGGCATCTGTATCCATGGCCATGATCGTGGACAGTCTACAGTGATTTGGTAAGGAGAGGCTGTGGTTGACTGATCAAAAGGTAGTGGCTGTGTTGGTGTTGAGGTGGAGCACAAGAGCGGCGTGTATGTTTGAGTGCGGGATGCCGATGCTCGATGGCGTTGCGGCGGAAGCTATGATTAGCGCATACCGCCAAGCCCCATCACCACCGACGTCCCTTCATCCCAGCTACCTCGCAAGCCGTTCTATTCGACATCTCAGCAGCCATTGAACGTCGCAACCATGCTGCCACTCCGCTGCGCTCGGTCGCCAGTGGCGCTGTCGGTTCAATTGCCCTCCAAGCGCGTAGCCAGCTTCTCCACCTCAGTTTGCCGGCAACAACTCAACTCGGATGTCAGGATCACTAGGTGCGATATACCCCTCTGTTCTACGCGCAAACGGAATGCTGATACACGTTTAGGACTGGAAAGCCTATTCTGACTGTTTCTGGTGGACGGTCCTCGCTCGGAGGTGCGCTGCGGTCCTAAGGACGCATTCTAGACGATCCGCTCACACATATTCAGGATACACCGCGACTGTCTTTGGAGCCACTGGCTTCCTTGGACGATACATTGTGAACAGACTGGGTATGCCATGATGCCTGCAGACGGAAACCGAGGAGCCATGTCGCGCTAACTAGAAGGAATAGCTCGTTCAGGATGCACGGTGATAGTGCCTTTCCGAGAGGAAATGGCAAAGCGCCATTTGAAGGTTGCTGGAGATCTGGGCAGGGTCGTCTTCCTGGAAATGGATCTTCGAAACACTCAGTCGATTGAGGAGAGCGTGCGACACTCTGACATTGTCTACAACCTTATTGGCCGTGACTACCCCACCAAGAACTTCGACCTCGAAGATGTGCACGTTCACGGAACAGAACGCATCGCGGATGCCGTTGCCAAGTACGACATTGACCGATTTGTTCATGTCTCTTCGCACAGCGCCCGCCTCGACTCGCCATCAGAGTTCTACCGCACCAAGGCCAGGGGTGAGCAGGTAGCCCGGTCCATCTACCCAGAGACGACCATTGTCCGACCCGCACCCATGTTTGGTTTCGAGGATCGTCTTCTTCACCGTCTTGCTTCCCCCACCAACATCATCACGTCGAACAACCTTGAGGAGCGTCTCCGCCCGGTTCACGTCATTGATGTTGGTATGGCTCTTGAGCGCATGCTGCACGACGACACAACTGCTGCCGAGACATACGAACTCTATGGCCCTACCGAGTACTCGATGGCCGAGATCAACGAGCTCGTAGAGAAGGAGGCGATGAAGCCGCGCCGCCACGTCAACGTGCCCAAGAAGATTCTCAAGCCCATTGCGCACTATGCGAACAAGCTGCTCTGGTGGCCCATCCACTCTGCGGACGAGGTTGAGCGCGAGTTCATCGACCAGGAGATTGACAAGAGCGCCAAGACGTTCAAGGACCTGGAGATTGAGCCGGTGGAGCTTAAGAGCATGACGTTCGAGTACCTCAAGGGCTACCGAAGCTCGAGTTACTACGATCTGCCGCCGATGAGCGAGAAGGAGAAGCGGGAGGAGAAGAAGTATCTGCATGTCATTGACGACCAATAGTGGGGCAAGCTTTGCTTTGTAAATATTTGAGCGTATGCATTGCCCTGCAGTCAGTAGAAGCCAGGGATGGCTGTTTCACTTTGTGTGCAATGGAAATTTGTCAAAAAACCAAAATGAAATGGATAATCAGTGTTGATTTGAGTGGGGTATCATATGCTTTGTTTGTTTGTCTGTTTATTTGTTTCTTTGGCCAAATCACTATCATGCTTGTTCCCGCTGCGACGTAGACTCTGTCCTCTTGTCTTTGGCCAAGTTCTCAAGGTACTTTCTCAGCAACGCTTCGGTGCTATCGGGATCGTCTCTCTCTGTGCCTTCATTCCAGTGACGATAAAACTCCAGCGCAACTTCTACAGCGATGAGAGCGATAATGGCCCATTCGAGTCGCAAACCGTGTTTCTCGCTCAACTGCTCGCGCAAGACACTGGCGATTTCCTGGGCGAATCCGATTTTCTCGTTGAGTACCTTGATGCGGACGCCTACGTCGAGGGCGCGGCCGACTTGGTCGTAGTATTCGCCTAGACCCAGCTCGTGGCGTGAGTCCCAGAAGATGTCGGGCATGGAGTCGGTTAGTTCAGAGTAGAGATTTAGCTGAGCGCGCAGAGAGAGTAGCTCGCCTGTTTTGCGTAGGATGAAGGAGCGGGTGAAGGGGGCGCTGCGGCGAGGGGAGAAGGTCTTGGATGAGGCGAGCATGGTGGGGATGTCGCGAGTCGAGTGCTGGTATGCTGACAAGAGGGTTTCGAGGACGGCGAGCTTGGTGCTGCGGGCGAGACCGGAAGAGAAGGCGATTTTGGCGAGGATGGTGTCGACTTCGTGGCGCTGTTGGTCAAGCTCGTCTGCTCCTGACGGCGAACCGTTGTCAGAGGGGGGCTCGGCTTTTGTGCCCAGGACAATAGTGTCGCCGACTACTTCGCTGGTTTCTTTGCTAGGGTCTTCGAGGTACTCGAGGTCTTCTGTTTCGAGCATGTCAAGATGCGATCCTTCGGCTGCGGCGGGGAGCACTTGGTTGACGAGTCGCAGGGCCTCTCGTTCGCGGACATTCCATGTTACGACTGTGCCGGACGGGAAGATAAAGATGTCGCCTTGCTGGAAATCCTTAACCTCAGAAGGGCGGTCGGAAGTCTGCACGTGAATGACTTGGGGATACAGGCCCGTCTGGAAGGGATCGAGGTCGTAGCCTTGGGCCTTGACGAGGCGAGCGGCGGCAGAGATGTCGTATGTCTCTGCAGCACAGTAGGCAGTCACAGTCTTGGTCTGGGCATCTGGATCAATGAAGCGCGTCCTTCCTCTAGATTTTATAAAAGCTCGTGACCGCTGTGCTTCGACTGCCACACTGCGCAGCGACGATGTTTTTCCGGCATTTTTTCGACTGGTCTTGCGGTCTGGCTTGTCTTGGTATTCTTTGGGCAATTCCTCTTTGCTTGCTGCATCTTCACTCTTTTGCGCAGCGTCTATCCTTTTGCTACATGGTATTGTCGAAGAAAACGGCCTTTTTGCGGGAATGGGCGAGAATTGCAGCGTGGGCCGGGCTTTACGTGGCAGACGGGCAGTGGGAGCAAGACATCGTGTCAGGCTCTGGAAGTGGCAGGGTCGGATGCTCGTCATGGCCAGCGCAGGAGCGTGTCGGACATGGCTTGCAGCAGGTCAGTGCCCAGGCAAGACTCAGCATCCCACGTCGACATTAATGTACCCAGCAGAAAGGTGGGTGGAGTAGCGCGGAGGAGAAGCATAGACCCTTGCAAGTCCGCGGGAATCGGCTTGGCCAGCATCATAGGCTCAGATCGACAGGGCCATTGTCAACCTCGCATCTCTCCACACTCGGCGCGCCCGGAGCGTCTTCTACGCCTCTTGTCCGCCTGTCGCAGCTCATGTCGCCAGCATGGCGGCGGAAAATATCGACGACGCTCCGCTGCCCAAGGCGCGCGACGACGCCCGCCTGCAAAAGGCCCAGCAGACTATCGAGCCGGACTCGGACGACGACGAAGACGACGAAGACACGGCCGACGACGATGTCGACGAGGAGCCCAAGCTCAAGTACAGTCGCCTCACCAGAGACTTGGGCCCTATATACCGCAATGGTGACGCGACGGCCACCTTCATGGTCGCTGGAGACAAGATGGTACGGTCATAGCTCCCAGCTTTCCCTCTGGTACATGTGTAGAGCATGTTTGGATTGGATTGCATCTTGCGGGCCATATGCTAACACTGTATGTCCATGTAGATTATAGGTACCCACAATGGAAACATCGTAAGTCCCTGTCCTAGCCCAGCCCTTGTCGCGCCGCCATGCTGACCCAAATAGCACGCGTTGAACTTACCTGCCTTCAACATCCTGCGCACCTACAATGCCCACCCTGCCGCCTCGGTCACCGCTCTCTCTGTATCGCCACTGCTTGCCTCCCAGCCCTTTGTGCCCTCCGCCTCGGACCTGAGGTCTGCCGACCAGGCAAATGCTTCCTCTCGACGAACCGACTCGCCAGCAGGTAACACTTCGTCTCCTCGCGCACCGCGCCAAGCCCAAGTCCCGCCTACGCCCTCGAACCAGATATATATTGCTTCCTCGTCTATAGACGGACATGTCTGTGTGTCTTCACTCGTTGACCCAAAGGATGTTACGCTGCGCAATTTCGGCCGCCCAGTGCAAGCCGTAGCTCTCTCGCCTGACTACAAAAACGACCGCTCGTACTTGTCTGGTGGACTGGCTGGTGAGTTGATCCACACCGTTGGTGGACCCATAGGCGTGCGATCCAACGCCAACACCAGCGCGGCATCGCAGGCTGCACATGGGTGGCTCGGCGCAATAGGTCTCGGTGGGCATGGAGGCAGAGACACCATTTTGCATTCGGGTGAGGGCACCATCACCGCCATAAAGTGGTCTCTGTCTGGCAAGTTTGTAGCCTGGGCAAATGAACACGGCGTGCGCCTAATGCGAACGGACCTGCACCTGGACAGCGCAGATTCAGACGATGCCTGGAAGAGAATCGGCATCATCGAAAAACCAAATCGCCGCGTATGGCAAGACATGGCCAGCGTATGGAAACCGCGAATAGAATGGATTGACGACCAGTCGCTCGAGTCTGATGACGATGCTATCATGAGTATGAATGGACACCACCTTGTGGATAAGGCCGATGCTACACTACCGCACAACCGATCTTCCCAACCTACCAAGGAAGGGAACAAGAAGAACATGGAAAAGCTCATCATAGGATGGGGAGACACTGCTTGGATCGTTCACGTGCGCCCTGGTGGATCTGGTGTTGGCCGCAATGTGGGTGAGAGATCGGTTGGAACCGCCGATGTCATCCGCTGGTATGCTACCCTCACACATCGATATCTATACATTTCTAACAATCTCCTAGCATTCATTTCGACGACTGTATTGTTTCTGGCATTTCGCTTTATACCCCTTCTTTACTTCTTGTTCTTGCATACCGGACACGCGACGATGATGACAACCCCGTATCCGGCCCGGATACTACTCCCCGCGGAGGAAGACAGCGTCGCACAAACGGTCTCTCTCCAGAACTCAAACTTATAGATGCTGCGACCTCTGATGAGGTTGAAGTTGACTCTTTAACCGTCAGTAGATATGAAAGCCTTTCAGCTGCTGATTACCACTTGGGCACCCTCTACGTCCCACATCCGAAGACGATGACTCCTGCGCAAAGAAGCGCATTGGAAGCTATCGGTGGAGGAATATGGGATGTTGGCGCGAGTGCAGCACGTATATTTAGTTCTGGAGCCAGTGTTATGAACCTTCAAATCGGCTCTGACAAGCCGCCATCGAGAGCGCCATCCATGTCTTCGGCCAGTGCTGGAAACATTTCTGGTTCAACACCTACTAAGCGCCAACAACCGGTACATCCAAATGCTGCCAGCGCAGGTCTAAAGGTTTTCATACAAAGTCCATATGACTGTGTATTGGCTATTAAGCGAGAGCTTTCCGATCATTTCCAGTGGGAGCTGGAACATGAAAACTATAAAGATGCATGGGAGCTTTTAGAGGATCATCCTGAGATTATCTCGTCAGTCGTACAGATACCATCAGACGCCTCTGATACTGGTACGCCAGTAAACAAGCAAGGAAGCTTGCACGAGTTCTTCGCCGATGACGATTCTCAAACAACACTGTCTGCCACAAGGGCTAATCAGAACTCGGCGGTAGAGAAAGAGAAGCGCAGAATCGGAGATTTATGGGTACAACAGCTCGTCAGTGCGGGCGACTGGAAACAAGCAGGCAAGGTGGCGGGACGTGTACTCGGGACTTCCGCGCGATGGGAACACTGGGTGTGGAAATTCGCCCAGACGAATCATTTCAACGAGATTTCGCCGTACGTCCCCAAGAAATCGATACAACCACCACTACCTTCCATGGTGTATGAAGTGATCCTTGGGCACTACATCATTCACGACCGCATACGCTTCAAGCATCTGCTCGAAGATTGGGATCCTGATCTGTTTGACATTAATAGTGTCATCGAGGCTATCAAGAGTAAACTCTCTGCTGGCGATGTCACTGAAGAGTCTATCGAAGGAGATGTGCAAGGGAGAGATTGGCGAATATTGCAAGACGGCTTGGCGAAGTTGTTCCTGGCAAGTGGTCGGCAGAGAGAGGCACTGCGTTGCTATATCCGCCTGCAGAATTCAGAGGCAGCCATGACCCTCATACGCGACTTTCATCTTGTGGAAGCTGTCCGTGATGATATCCCTGGATTCATTATGATGGGTGTCTCTAAAGAGCTGATGAAGTCAGCATCAACAAAACTGGAGGAGTTGGAAGAGGCATCGGCAGAAGCTATCAATGTCCTTGTCGAGGAGGGTTGCCGAGGCACCATTCCAGCAAGTGATGTCGAGAGTCAACTGCAGGCCAAGGGACCGTCGTTCAGGCCCTTTTTACATTTCTATCTGCGGAAGCTTTGGAAGCCGGAGATGCATGAGCGCACTGCTAAGACAGCCAAAGAACGAGTAGCTGAAGATCGTTTGGTAGCCGATGGCAAGCTTGTTGCTGAAGAGTTTGCAGACCTCATGGTTGAGCTGTTTGCAGAGTATGACCGACCGCTACTGATGGAGTACCTCCGCAAATCCCAGAGCTACGATCTGAGCAAGGCAACTGCAGAATGCGAGAGGAGAGAGTATATTCCAGAACTTGTGTAAGTATTCATCATTTCCGCTACCACAATTGGCTACTGACTCCAACCAGACATATCCTCTCCAAGACGGGCCAAACGAAGCGTGCTCTCTACCTCATCATTGAGAAGCTCTCCGATGTCAGCTTCGCTATTTCTTTCGCCAAGGAACAGGACGACCCTGATCTCTGGAACGATCTGCTGGAATACTCCATGGACAAGCCGCATTTTATCCGCGGTCTTCTCGAAGAAGTCGGTACTGCAATTGATCCTATCAAGCTCGTACGCCGCATCCCCGAAGGTCTTGAGATCGAAGGCCTACGAGATGGCATTGGCCGTATGGTCCGCGAGTACGAAATTCAATATTCCATCTCCGAAGGTGTCGCACGAGTGCTGCGTGGTGAAGTAGCAGCGGGCATGGACACATTGCGCTCTGGCCAGAAACGCGGTGTCAAATTCGAAGTTGTTCCTTGCGATGGCGGCCTCTCCGGAAAACAAGCAAAGCACCACCACGCCAAGGGGCAAATCGATATCGAGACTAAAGGCATGGATCCCGCGACTGCCGCAAAACTCACGGCTAAAGCAGACAAATCAACAAAAGCCGTGAACACAGTTAATGCACTAAACATTGATCCTACTCCACCCGGCCCACCAGAAGGCGACGCTCCGCCCGGACACTGTGTCGGCTGCCACCGTCCCTTTACTCTCCCCACTGCCGAAGAAGAATCCGCCATCAGCGATGGAACCACTCCGTTGCCACCCTCCCGCGACACACTTGTCGGCTTCGCATGCGGTCACGTCTTCCACCTCGCATGTCTTCTACCAAAGACAAACGCAAGCGAAAGCGTCGCAGCGGGACTACAGCAGCAGCTTGCAAACGACGCCCAAGAGAGCGGCGGCAGATGGACACGCAGTGTAGGTGCGAAGGTGGCACATGCGCATGTTATCAAGAAGGCGGTGGGTAGGGGGTGTGTTGTTTGCAGGGAAAGGGAAGTTGTGGGTACGGAGTAATAGAAGTGCGAATGAGTTGGATGGGATAAGAGAGGGAAGATGGGCAGGTGTATATACGAGGTAGTAGTTTTATGCAGATTATGTACTTGAGTCTAGGATATGTTGTCTGATATACCCAGTAGTGTGTATGTGTATGCAAGAATGAGAGAATGAGGTGGTACATTCATAAATATTGCTATAATATAAGATACATCGAAAGTGCTATATCTAGCTCTTGTTTACCTCTTCTTTTCCGACTAGGAATGTGCTTAGGTTTTGAAGATGCTTTTCTCTTTATGAGTAATGTTTCCAAGTATGAATATCGCCCATTGCACAAATGGAAACATCGAGCATCACGTTTCACGTATGATTTGAATTAGAAAAGAAAAAGGATATGAAATATTCAACATGTTAGTAGATGTATAGAGAGATTTGTTCTATTTACTTGGATGGTCCGAGATGCGTGATATAGTATAAATAACAATAAAGAAGATCGAAATTACCTACTATTACCACCACTCAGTCAGTTTGCATTCGACAAACTCCTATTTCAAAGAGTTACAACCACCCCATCTATGCTCCTTAATTCCCCCACAAACCTCTCCTCTACAGCCACCGCATCAAGCGCAAAACACGTCGAATACGGCCTCTCAAGCTCCAGCCTCACACCAGGCCGCTTCTTCACAAACCCACGACAAACCTCCAACCACGTAAACCCCTCCATATGCTCCGCATCCGCATACTCGTCGTCCGACCCATCCATAAGCCGAATCCCACTCAGCACCACTCTCTCCAGACTCGGCCACGGCCCCGTAAGTGCATTTGCCAAATCCTGTTTCTGCAGCGCAAACCCACGCAGCCTTAGCACCTTGAGTTGGTTAAGCTCGAGATACGGGAGCAGCAAGGGAAGAACCGACGCAGTGTGATTTGTATAGTCTAGATCTGAGAAGTTCGTTTGGGATGATGTATCCAGGTCGTCGACGAGCTCGAGGTGTTGGAGCTGCAACATTTTGTTTATCATGAGTTTCCAGAACCAGAATGCGTTGAAGGTGGTACTGCTGTTTGCGGGGGAGAAGTGGCCATGGGTACCGGGTGTGCCGCGGATGCTGAGGGTGAGGCGTGTGAGGGTGGCTAGGTTGGGAAACTCGTCTTCGGGGTACATGTAGCCGCGTCTGAGGATTTCGCTGACGGTGCCATTTGGGGAGTAATTGTCTATACTGGCGAGGGAGAGCTGGAGAGTTTGGACGTGTGATGGAGCTTTTCTAACGATGATGGCACTGGCCCAGGCGAGATTTACGGTTCGGTCTTCTATGAAGCGGGGAGTTTCTTGCTCAACAACGGATTTGCCGGTTTGCTGGATAAAGGTGTGAGTGCAGGTTGACTGGGGGTGGTCGACTCGTTCGCAGCATGCGACGGAGATGGACGTGAGGTTTTTGAAGTAACCGAATATTCGGGCGAAACTCCATTCAGCGCTATGTACGAGTGGGCGCCAGCGCCAGAGTTGGCAGAATGGTTCTACCATTGCTTCATGGTATCTTAGCCAGTACTCTCGTTGCTCGTCCGTCAACTCCGTAGTAGGTGAACCATCATACTGTGGATATAGACGTTGTCGAGTGGCTCCTTCAGGAGTATAAGATATTCCCATTCTCATATCATCAGTTCGGATAGCTGGCGGAACCTATGTTAGTTAGTAAACTTTGCTTTTGATTCCAGGCAGGTTGCTTGTACCTGGACAACAATATGCGTCACAAAATCGAGTAGGTGGGCATTCTGCTTAGTGGTTGCAAAGCGCTCTAGATTACACGATGCTCCTGGCAAAATATGTGTCAACGTCATATCCTTGAATAGGTATTCTGTCGCCCATTCCCTCAAGCATGAATGCGCCAGGCTAGCATTTTGGAGGTCTAGTTTACATCCTGGCTTCATCTCTTCAACACATGTTGGAGCGAGATACGAAACTACTTGTTTCATTAGCTCCGAAGGCAGCGCGTCAATAGTACGCCAACGTCTCATTTGAGCTCTCTTCTGCAGCACCATGTCCATTACAGTGGCTTCGAGCATCTCACAGGTCCAGTAGTAGCAAATGTGACCTTTTTGTGACTTCCCTGTAGCCTGGAAGTGAAGTTAAATAATTGGCCAGGAGGAAAACCCAGCGAACTGGAGGACAGCATTTTATGAGAATTTGCCAATTGGTTGCCTAAAAGGTGTTGCTATAGTGAAGAGGCAACCATCCCTGTCGTTACCCACAGCAAGAAACCGCCTCGGCTAACCGCGGTCCATGGCAATGAAGTCACCAAACCGCAACCCAGCTGATGCCGTAGCCGTGACTTTGGACTAGATCGCTATAGCTTTGATGTAACCCATTACAACACCCAACTAACCCACCTACCTTCCTGTCTACCGCTCAAAATGCCATTCCTTCGCCCCGCGCCCCGCATCATATACCGCGCCAACCAAACCCGCACGTTCGCAACTGCACAAACCCCAGCCATCAATGTCAAAAACATCCCCGCGCCCCATTGCGGAAGCATACGAATTCTCTCTTTGAATCGACCCGCAGCGCGCAATGCGATTTCTAGGCAATTACTCGCAGAGCTGAGCCATCAGGTCAATAGCATCCATGACGAGGGAGACAATGGGCCAACGCGGGCGTTGATCCTGGCCAGCGATGTCGACTCGAGTTTCTGCGCCGGCGCAGACTTGAAAGAACGAGCTACATTTACTCAGGAAGAGTATGTCCTATCTCCGCCTCAAAGTATGCTAACAATTGCTAACGAGTAGCTACAGGACAGCAAACTTCCTCGCGTCGCTACGAGGAACATTCACATCGATTTCGCAATTGCCTATTCCTACTATTTCCGCTCTTGCAGCACCGGCGTTTGGCGGCGGTCTTGAATTAGCACTTACGACACATATGCGCATCTTTGGTTCTACGACTACGGTCGCCCTGCCTGAAACCCGTCTTGCGATCCTACCGGGCGCAGGAGGAACTTACCGCCTCCCTGCAGTCATCGGTCTCTCGCGCGCCCGCGATATGATTCTGACTGGACGACGAGTTGCGGCACCTGAAGCTTATTTCCTGGGGCTATGCGACCGGTTGGTGGAGATTACCCCAGAGGTTGCGAAAGAGGAAGGGGCTGCAAGGAAGAAGGTCCTGGAAGAGGCGATCAACCTGGCAATGAACATTTGCGAGGGCGGACCAATTGCTATCAGGGCTGCGCTGGCGGCTGTCGAGGGATGTGCGCTGGGCGAGAAGGCTGAGAATGCTGCGTACGAGCGTGTGGTCAGGACCAAGGATCGCGATGAGGCTCTTCTTGCTTTCAGAGAGAAGCGGAAACCTGTGTTCAAGGGCGAGTAAAACTTAAGACATATTTTCCAAAAGATGCTTGTTCAATTGGTCATGTTTTCTGTTTCTGATGAATTATTCTATTCATTACATCGAATTCTCTCTACATCTTGCTCTTGATCTCATCCAGCAACTTGGCCAACTCAGTCTTATCCGCTGGCTTCGTCGGCCACCCAACAGTCAGTCCCTCCTCCACATTCGGCTTGGGAATCAAATGGAAATGCACATGGTCTACCTCCTGATGCGCAATGCGACCATTGTTCTGTAGAATGTTGTAGTCCTTGAGATCCTGTGCAACAGCAATGCGCTTGGTGACGGCGAGGATTTCAGAGAGCTGGTCGTCGGGTATATCGTGGAGCTTTGCGCCGTGGTGCTTGGGGATGATGAGCTAAGGTGAGGCCGTATGTTAGTTTGTGTTTATCAACTCTTGAGAAAAGAGGAAAGAAAGTTTGGAAAGAGGCGTACGCTGTGTCCCTTGCTCAATGGGCCAATGTCGAGGAATGCAAGTGTCTTGTCGCTCTCGAAGATCTTCATCGAAGGGATCTCGCCTATAGGAGCTCGTTAGTATGTCACAATGCACTAGTGGGAATTGAGACCTACCCTTGATGATCTTGCAAAAAATGCATGCAGCAGAAGACATTGCGGTACTCGTGAATTGCGATGTTGGTTGGTTAGTGCGTGGGTTGGTACGGGGAGTTCTGGATGACGGCGCAGGGCTGAGCTCCCGGGCGAAGTGGGGTTGACCGAGGGGCAAGTGGCGGGGTAGCTCTTTGGTCGGCCGAGTTCGCCTTGCTTGCGCAATATATCACCAGGTTTTGACAAAAGCTTATTACTTGGTAATAGTACATTGTGTGTCGGTATAGTCGTCTGATATTCTAGCTAAGGTTTGGGATTACGCCAACTTTGCATGTCATGATGATTTCCACTTCCATGCTTCGGATTCAAAGTTGGAATAACACCTGAACTCGTTGCTCAAACCTTTCGCGTGTATAATCTCATAGTCTGTAGTCTTCAATCCTACTTTGCCGTAGAGTTTCTCGGTGACCAAACTCTCCATGCGCTCTCCAGTGCAGACAATAAGACGAAACGAGTCTTGTGACCATGACTTGGCCAGCCATCGTACAGTCAGAGCGGCTATATCATGTTAACGGGGTTATGCGCTGACTTTTTAGGAAATGTGAAAATTCACCTTTAGTCTGGCAGTCTTGACTCAGAAATGGCGGGTCGCAAATGATAGCATCGAACGAGCCTTTGAGTTCAGGCGGTAGCTGGATCGCTTTCTCAAAGTCGTATGAGACAAACTCTTTGAAGACCGCAAAGCGTTCGTCGAATTCGAGAAGTTTGATCTGCGGCCGACATGGGACTTCACCTGAGTTCTGTGCAATCATCAATACAGCGCGCGGGGGGGGGGGAGTTTCAGGTTGTTCGTCAAACACAACTTACGATCAAATTCTTTAGCTGTATAAAAGCGCTGGGCGCTGATACAACTGCGATTCTCGTCCCATCGGTAGCGCCATCCAGAAGTTGCTTCGCAAGGACCGTGGCAGTCTCGTCACTGTACCAGAACTGACTTGCGTTCCAATCTTCTGTGAATACATCCATGGACAGTTTTCCATCAAAGTCATCTTCCGCCTTGGCTTTCAGATCTTCAAACTGCTTTGCACGTTCATCCCGCTCGCCGTAAAATTGTTGAAGCGCTGCTAGGGCGTCGCCCGAAAGCTGTCTTGTTTGCTTAGTATGTACGTCATCATCTGCGATAAGAATACTCACGGAATATCGTCGTCGTCTTCAATCATCGGTACCATACTAATCCCTTGTTGTCAAACTGCAGCGGCAAATAATTGCATGTGGATCTGAATAGTCGCAAACACCTGAACTCACCCCACTCCCGATAAGCGAGCCTCGGTAAGTGTGCTTGACCCGACACCTGAGGTATGGAATGACCATGTTACGCCAGCGACTTACACATTTCAGTTCACTTAGACTATATTCAAAGATGGTCGACGCACTAGTACCTTTGCCTGAGATCGAGAAGTTGAGCGATCGGGTGATTAGAGTGCTTGGTGGTAACCCGGGCAAGGTAAGCGGCGTCGCATCGCAAGGTAATAACATACACTGACAAACTTCAAGTTCACTTTGCAAGGTTTGCGCATCTCGTTTCATTTCGGAATTCATATTGATCAGTACAGGTACCAACACTTATGTCGTCGGTCAAGGTGCATCGCGACTCCTCATCGATACGGGCGAAGGCAGACCCCAGTGGATAGCGTCCATCAAGTCGCTGCTCTCAAAGGAGAACATCGCAATCGAAAAGGTACTCTTGACACACTGGCATCCTGATCATATCCAAGGAGTCCCTGATCTCCTCGAGCACGCTCCTAACACCAAGGTCTACAAAAAAGATCCACACCAAGACTGGCTCCCTATAGCCGATGGACAGAAGTTTGAGACTGAGGGCGCGACGTTGCGTGCATGCTACTGTCCTGGACACACCACCGACCACATGGCCTTTGTGTTGGAGGAAGAAGACTCCATGTTCACGGCCGACAATGTGCTGGGGCAGGGCACAGCGGTCTTCGAGGATCTAGCAACATACATGAACAGTCTCGAGGCCATGTCAAAGCAGTTTGGCGGTCGCGCATACCCCGGTCACGGCCCTGTTATCGACAATGGCCCAGCAAAAATCAAAGAGTACATTGGCCATCGCAAGCAGCGTGAGCAGCAGGTCTTGGATGTGCTGGCTGCGGATGAGGGTGGGTTGGGGTTGTCGTCGATGGGCATTGTCAAGGTGATATACAAGGATTATCCAGAAAGCCTCTGGGAGCCGGCGGAGAGGGGCATACTGCAGATCTTGAACAAGTTGAAGCAGGAAGGAAAGGTTACTGGTGATAAGACTTGGTCGTTGAGTGGAAAGTCTAGTCTCTAATCAATCAATACAAAGTTTGTGGATCGAAAGCTCCTGTTAGGCGCCCTGCGAAGTGGGGTGGGATGTGCCCCGCCAACCAGTGCTACCCTTGTGCAGCTACTCCTGAGTGTACAATGCTGATATAAACGATCAAATTTCCCAGACTTCCATCGAATCATCTGACATTGTGCCAGAGTGGTTAATGGGTTAGACTTGAATTACTCATTCATGTCATCTAATGGCTTCGGCCTCGCAAGTTCGAATCTTGTCAATGTCGCATAACCATATCGTACAATGCCCCCAGCGGGGGTATCTTTCTTTTTGCCTTTTTTTGCTCGTGTCTTGCTTTCTTTGCAGTATCTACGGAAAGGAAGTAGATGGTACTTGGATTATTTTTTGCCTCCCAACTAACGGGAAATAACTACAAGCTGTGCAGCGAACAACTTTGCTCTAACAAAGTCAATAGGGTAGTGACATCTTCCGAAGCAGCAATCATTTTGGCATTTTTGAGAATTTGCGAAAGCTCTGTACGCGAATTTTAGATACTGTTGTAGACGTCGACCATGCCCATGAGAAGACTAGCACATGATCGCTGTAGATCTAAACAAACATGGTTAATTCTTGGCCCAAAGCAACTGGTTCTCTAGCATTCCCCGTGCAGCTGACCCAATCATCTGAGGGTAGTTTTATTGACAGAATATGATTCGAAGACATCGAACAATGTCAAATCATATTTGGCGATTGCCTATCACAAATTTTGTTGGGTGTTATGAGTGAGCTAGTATATTTGAAGCCGCATAAATGAATTACTAGTCAACCTCACTTGAGTTTTCTGAGACGTACCTTTGAAATTGGGCCCAAAAACTGTGGTAAAGGGTGTTCATTTGACTGATACTCTTTTTCTTCTACAGGATAGCCCTTTTCCTACTTCGACTTCATTTTCAGTGGCTAACTATTTGAGGGATCTAGCAATTGATTTGGATGTAGGTGTACATGTTCCCAATGCCTTCTCTACCTTGCGAAGTCAACTACTGTTCCTGGATCGCGATCTCCATGGAGACCACGTAGCCTAGCATAGCAAAAGTCACGGACAGACCGCTCCGAGATCAATACTGGAGTCACATGGCTTTGAAAAATGCCATAGGTGTGGAGAAAACCCATGATCGTTCCACTTTGTGGCATCCTTGGCAATGTAAGGTTTGCTTTGAGCAGAGTGGTGTGATGTATACTGATACACCTACATAGGTTGCGAAGTATCCATACTAGACAGTGCTTTATAGGTTAAAAGCCGGAGATAGAAGAAGGTCATCTTTGGGCTTATGGAGTGAACTCTTAGTCATTATTCTACTATAACTAGTTGACATGCACATACTAGAATCAACTTTACTTACTCTGTACATGACAGCGGTTCGAGTTACTTCGCGACGATAGTGTCCCACTCCGCGGCCCACTGGTCGGGGAGACTTGCCATCTCTACCGTACATGGCTTAGCGCAGCGCTCGATATGCACCCATCTGAACCCTAGCCAGCAATTTTCGCCGTGACCTCCACTCTGGCCGGCAACATTTCCCCCAAGACGAATAAGTTAGAAAAGAATCCTATCCTACTGGACATACGCACAGCGCGGAACGAGGCGAATCTTATTCTGGGGTTGTGGGGTAACGGGTGAGGCGTTATGCTCGTCATCTGGGGATTCTGGGTACTTCTACTGGTCTCAGGGGCATTTGTAGACGTGGGAACAAGCACACCAAGGTGGCAGAAGCACCATGCGGCGTTACAAAAACGAGCAGTATCAACCAATAGCAGAATTTAGCAGTAAATATCACGCGAGTTCCAAGCGAGTCAAGAATATTAGAACATCCATCGTATCTTTGGTATCGATTCTCACGATCCATAGCAAAGCAGATCGGCCAGTCTCGGACTGGGGGTCCACAGAAACTTCGAGCGAGCTTCTGAACGCACGCCCGATGTTTGCGTCAACAAAGTGACCCCTGCGTACGCACATATGGGAACCAGCAATCAGAACAAGTAATAGGACCAAAGAATGCGGTTCCCAACCGCTTAAACCGCATGTGAACACGGAACTTTCTAGTCGCCGTTTTTACCTCGACACCGCTGTTAACCAGAACGTTATCGGATGCCTGTTGCAACAGCGATAATAGGCCTGCCACTAGCGTTGACAGACAGGTGTTGTGGATCCACCTTGAAAGATCTAACGCGAGACCAAGCGAATTATCCAGTGTGTACATAAAGGCTGACCGACATTCTCCTCTTCTACTACTCTTCTCACTCGAGATTTTTGTTCAATTCTATCGGACTGGGTCCACACGAGCACCAGGAACTCCATTGAAACCAACATGGGTAGAGGCGATTCGGTCAAAAGTGTCCCACAAGAACAACAGGAGACCATGGTCTCTTGTGCCAGTAGAGATGGACCGATAGCTAGGGAGCCGTATGGACCGACAGGTATGCTTCTCCACCAAACCACCCACAACGAATTTCGTGATAATAGTAACTGACCCCACCCAGGATTTAGTGGTCTCTTTACCAATCCATATGTCGCCATGTGCGCAGCATTCGCCACCATTGGAGGCCTTCTCTTTGGATACGACCAGGGTGTCATCTCCGTGACGCTTGTCATGGACCAATTCCTCGGCCGCTTCCCTCGCGTTTCGGACGATGCTTCAGGCGCGGGATTCTGGAAGGGATTGATGACTGCTATGCTGGAACTTGGTGCCCTTATCGGTGCGCTGTTTGCCGGATGGATTGCAGATAAGCTATCCAGGAAATACTCCATTGTCGTCGCGGTCATTATCTTTACGATTGGAAGTATTTTGCAGACTGCGGCTATGGGTTATACTATGTTGACGGTGGGACGACTGGTTGGAGGAATGGGTATTGGAGCGTAAGTTGAAACTCCACACTGAGATGCTGTTGCCCCTAGGGCGAGATCTAACTGGGTATAGACTTGCAACAATCGCTCCACTCTACATTTCGGAAATTGCTCCTCCAGAGATCCGTGGTGCCCTTCTCGTTTTGCAGGAGTTTAGCATCGTTCTCGGTATCGTAGTCGCCTTCTGGACAACGTATGGTACCCGCTACATGGCCGGAGAATGGGCATGGCGCCTTCCTTTCCTCATTCAAATGATTCCAGGTCTGATCTTGGGTGCTGGCATCGTTTTCCTTCCCTTCTCACCTCGCTGGCTAGCTAGCAAAGGCCGCGACGACGAAGCCCTCCAAGTCCTTGGAAAACTCCGCAAACTCCCGACCGATGACACTCGTGTGTTCCAAGAATGGTGTGAAATCCGTGCCGAGGTTGCTTTCAACCGCGAGGTTAACTTGGAAAGACATCCCGATTTGCAGGGAAATACACGTATGGATGAATTCAAACTCGAGATTCAATCGTGGCTCGATTGCTTCAGACACGGGTGCTGGAGGCGAACCGTTGTCGGCGTTGGCATTATGTTTTTCCAACAATTCGTCGGTATGTATAGTACCACACTCTACAAAGGACGTAACTGACGGAATACCAGGTATCAACGCTCTCATCTACTACTCGCCCTCTCTTTTCAAGACTCTTGGCCAAGACTACGAAATGCAGCTCCTTCTCTCCGGTATCATCAATTGCACCCAGCTCGTGGGTGTTGCGACAAGTCTATGGACCATGGATCGCTTTGGACGCCGATCTCTGCTCCTGAGTGGCGCTGCGCTCATGTTCATCTGCCATCTCGTTATTGCTGTCCTGGTAGGAAAGTTTGGTGGCCGATGGGCTGATTACTCGACTGAAGGCTGGGTCGCCGTCGCCTTCCTCTTCTTCTACATGTTCAGTTTCGGTGCCACATGGGGTCCCGTACCATGGGCTATGCCGTCTGAAATCTTCCCTTCTTCACTCCGCGCAAAGGGTGTTGCCTTGTCGACATGCTCCAACTGGTTCAACAACTTTGTAATCGTAAGTAGCAACTTGCTCAGCGATACAAGGAACAAGATACTAAAACGCGTTTCAGGGTCTCATTACTCCACCTCTTGTCCAGAACACCGGCTACGGCGCCTACACTTTCTTCGCTGTCTTCTGTCTCCTCGCATTCATATTCACATTCTTCGTTATCCCGGAAACGTCTGGCAAGACGCTAGAGGAAATGGACCAAGTGTTCCACGATGTCAGTAGTGAGGCGGAAGAGCAGCAAAAAGCACGCATCATGCGCGAGATAGTTGAGGGCAAGAATCGTCATACATCTGCTGCAAATCCCTAGGGCATCCGATGATCACTTTCTAAACACAGTCAGCTATTATAAAGATAATAGTAACTAATGTTAATTTTATTTTAAACATTTTTCCCAAGACATACGACGTATATTTCATCAATATCCGATGCTGGTTCCCATTGTCGCGATCTCATAAAGTTCCCATCAGTCGAGATGGCCTTCGGCCCATTTCACCGAAGGTCCTGTGCCGACTTCCCATACCCAAGAGATCCCGCACGCCAAATAAGACCAGTAATCATACGATTCCAATGCTTTGGTAACGTCAAGACAGAGGGTCTGTGTGGGACCCGACAAGTGGCATACAAAAGAATACCTCACTACCCATAATATTTGCGCGTGATTCTTTCGTGTGAGACGGCCATCTGCAATCTGATTGGTGGGTGTTCGCCGGGACGAATACCCGGCGATACGTGGCGCATTGCGAGAGACTTTTGGGAAAAATGCTCATCGGATTACGGCCAATGACATCAGAGGTCAGCGGTGCTATGTTCTGCCTTGGGTGTAGCAAGGGTGAATGGGTGGTAGCGCTAGCCATGGGGATTGTTGAGGATAGGTATGGGATACTGGTCATATGGTGAGATAATGGACATCGGGTTCAGGGTACTGTACTGCGTCACCTGAGTATTTGCTTTTTCCATCGACGAGGGTCTGCGCTTGATGTGTCAGGTTCCTTTTCTCAAAGATTAGTAGGAGCGACCATTGTTTGATGGCTTATGGCAAGGCGTGAGTTAAGTGCGGTTACATCCATCACAGAAAACTGCCCAACACGTTTCGGGAACGATGGACTGGGGTGTTTGATAAAAAAATTCTATTGTTTCATTGGAGAACTGGCGGTTGAAGCACCAGACATGTCCCACTCGTTTCTGAGTGCATTGATCAGCCAGGCCGTTGGCCAGACGTGGTCTCTTTCAAAGTCGGCCAAGATCTCAATTATTTCTTTCCTCTGTTTCTCGCTTGATACAAGCGGGCCCCAGATAAAAACAGTGTGGCGGACTGTGATTGCTAGTGGTACTGCTTCTTTCGAGCTTTTGGCAGCTCCGCAAATGGCTTGTGCATGCGATAGGATTTGGTGCTATAGAAGTTAGCAATCAGTCTGGTACATGAAAGACGGAAAGATTTACATCTGTTTCAGATAGTCGATAGCCGTCATGAACTACCGAATCTGAGTGTGGCCTGAACCGGAGTAGCATGATGCAAGCAAAGTGGTAGTAACAGAATGAAACGGCTGATGAATTAGTATGCGCAGCGGTAAGAGAGGAGGCTTAAGTAATCTTACCATGCCAATCGGCTGTAAACCAGGTATTTGGAAACGAGCAGCTATCATCCACAGGACCTTGATAGATGGGATTGAAGCCGGCTGGCCTGTCCCGCATCCATGTGTGAACAAGCTCCCACAGCTCCTCCCACTGTTGCATCCTAGAAAGCATATCGCCGTATACCTCGTTCCCATCATAGCAGAAGTTGACGACGCGCGCAAGGTTCCATGCCATTTGGTTGGACCAAGCCGTTTCCAACCTTAGCCGTGCCAGTGGATGTGCATCTCGCATTGAGCTGGGTGTTGGATGCAGCTGTAATGAGAAATCGATGTCGAGCGGTTGTTGGTTTATAGTAGCTTTGTGTATGCACTGCCGTACGTATACCCAGAAGGCAGCTTCGCGCAGAGTGGGTGCTGAAGGGTCTACGAAATGATGTCCTTGTGAGGAGCGGATGATGGCCGAGCAACCTGCAAGATGTTGTTCGTCTTCTAAGCCTACACTTGAGGGAACTAGATGTAAGAGTTAGCAAAGAAACGGCATATATCGAAGGTGTCGGGTAAGCTTACCGCTGAGCTGCTCATAGAAGTGTAGTATGACGATGGCACATAGAAGGGTCTCATCATGACTTGCAGCCTCCTCGTTCAGCCGCAAGATCAGGAGCGAGATGCAGCGCTGATAGGCCGCGTCTGCAACAGAGTCGTTTCGAGAGTGACGAGCAGCGAGTGCAATGACGGCGTGACGAAGGACGGAACAAAGGGTGATTTTTTCGGGTACTCCAAGAGTGAATTGATCGGTTGCGTCTGTACAGTCAAGCCAGCGGCCAATGTGTTCGGTATAATGATGGACCAAGAGGGCTTCTTCATGGGTCAAAGGAATGGGTTCTGCTGCATGGCCTGCGGTGCCTAGGGGGTGTTGGTCCATCTGGCTCTCCTGCGCCAGGAAGGTCTCCATCGACACATGGCCCCTCGTATCCTCCACCTTGTTGACATAGTATGGCGGAGCCGAAAATCCTTGGGCCGATGCGGAAGGCGCGCTGGAGTATGGACTGTCTAGTACCCCATCGGTCTGACTGTTTTTCCGAATGTTTCTCTGTGAGATGGACTGGCTGCGACTTCTTTCACCAATACCGTCGGCACCATCCATCTCTTCATCTTCATCTTCTCCATTCTCGCCGTCCGCGCCGTCCAAATTGTCTCTGGCCTCATTTTCATCGTCCGTGCCGCCTGTAGCAAACTTGCTTGATGAAGCTCCACCAGGTCGATAGTCTTTGAACTTGGTGTGCGGTTCCTCCCACTGGCAGGGCCGGTTTTTCTTGCTACAGGCCTTACATGTTGGATGAGTTTCGTCGCCTGAGTTTCGTGTAAGCGCAGATGAACAATTTTTGTAGCGAACTTACACTTGACACGGCGTGCTCGACATGTAAGACTTTGTCCAGGTCAGCATTATTTTGTGACCACCAGATTGGGATCATTACTGACCAGCCACTCCTAGAACGGTATTTACTATACCAAGTCAGCATGCATCGAATATAAAGGCTCCAACAAGACTTTACCCCATACGTGGATACTGGAAGCTACTGATCGAATATTGGTGTACCTGTCGCAGTGTCAGCGGGGTCCATGGTGCCGCCCAAATCAAGTTGCAGTTCCAAAACAACAATCTTCTCAAGTCCAGATGGTGGCTGATTGCGGGGATCCGTACCGTGGTTGTGTAGTATGTGTGTATTGGGGTTGCCCATGCACTTCACCGACTTCGCTCGAAAGATCACCAAGTGACTGACATTGGAAGCCGCCTGGGGAGATTGGGAGCGACGAAAAAGGGCGCTTAGATGTGGCTTGTAAGTTCCAAAAAGGTATATCCTAGAGCCCAATAGTAGTATCGAGACGAGATCGTTACCTATCGAGTGTGGCTTCGATTATATTAGTCATTTGTCGAATAAGATTCCTTACCCACTGACGTGTTGCAAAGGAAGCCGCGGAGGCACTCGTTTGATACACGGCACATTAATTCTGCAGATCACGGTCAAGTCGCAACGTCCTTTATCTGCGTCGGGGTCTCGAGAGTGTGTAGTCATCGAGCCGCGCTCACGCAATGATTGTTTATAACTTCAGATTTACTGAAAGTTGCGGCACATCCGATATTCACGCGCTTGTGCTGTTAATCCTTGCTGGATAGAGCTTGCTACGGGCCAAATTCCCGAAGCCAGTCACAGCTGCCAGAGCTCTACAAGCTTAGCCGCCACTCACTCCTACAGCTAGCCTATATAACCCTGAAGGTTCATCATTACGTGTAGCAAGCCAACTCCGGACCTTTAAAGGAAGAGCCCGCACTCGAGGTTCCAGGGTTCCAGTGTTGGCACCCTGTGGGCCGAAATCGCTGACGTAGCCAGAATGCTCCTAGTCCCAATAGACTGATTCGTATCGAGAAATATTTTTTGTACAATTAGGACGCGCGGATGATCTGATCATACAAAGAGTCTTCAATATCGTTCGCTATGCTCTTTCAGCAGCTATACTGGGCAAATCGACAAGATATAGAGCATAATAGCATGTCTTTTGTGAGGGCGATATTGATCTCTTGTGTCTTTTTGGTTTCGCTAAACGTGGCTCAGATAGTGCCAAACTTCGTGACGAGTGCAGGAGCCAGTAACTCGGCGCCTTGGCCACCGAATTGCTGTTGTGTCACATCTTATACCTACTCACCAATTCACTGCGCTCATCCATGCAGTCATTCACGCCCTCTTACATTCGATTTTGTTTGAGCCTCTAAAATTTCAGTCTTTTTTGTATGAAATCGCCGAGAGCCGTAAACGCCACACCTCAACCTCACGAGATGCGAGACTGGCCAGAGACCGAGACGAAAGGGCCATGCTGCTGAGGCCAGAGAAGTTCGTTGGGCCATTATAAGAGCACCCATATTTCTTCTGCTACTGTCAGCCACGGCAAGCGCATTCAGAAGCAGCATTCTGTACGCAACGAGGACAAACCTATCGTGGAATTATTCTGGATGGTTGACCGTTCCAACTGACACATTCTGGTCCAGGTCGACAATCAGTGGCGTGCTAAATGACGGCAAGGCGTCCAAATCTAGCGAAGCACTTGTCGGAAAGATGAGTTCCTTCGATCCGGGAATATTTGTCTAAGAGAAAACCGCAATTTACGATATGGAACGTCAAAGGATATAAAGCTCCAGAGTATTTCCTTTGGGCGGTTTTGATTTTACTAGCGCCATATACGCACCTATCGGCACGCATACCGGTCTATTCTGAGTGGACGAGAGCTCTTTGATATCACGGTACTCGGCGTCGACTTGCATACTCTCAGTGCCTAGGGAATCCTCCCATCGCGTCCTCGTCTCGATCCGCCCCCATACGCGCTTCGCACCGAGCTCTCCTCAGCAGTACGTGTGCGACCTTGGCCAGGATGATATGAAGGTGGGGTGATGTTTGTCCTCACACGAAGATGCCTGGACGTCTTGAAGGTCTTGAAACTTTTGGTAGTCAAAAGTTTCAAGATCTCTCTGCCCTGTCGGAGCAAAACAGGCCATGTCCCCGAAGCCCCGTTGAGAAACAATAGCCGAGCAAGGACGCGTCCTCGATGTTGCTGCTATATATGGGTACATGTTGTCAAATATTGTCTACGCTGTCAACGTCCAAGGGTTGGCTCATTTTGACCCGCATAAGTCGGTGAATGAGCAGCACATTGTTGAAATCTGACAGCAACTGACGTCGAATGCACAAGGATTGTACCTGCAAGCACATCTTACCATATCCGGCATGGATACGAGCGCTATGCCCCAATGTCGCCAGGGCCTCGACGTACCAAGCTTGTCATCTCTGACGGTAAAGAAAGACCAATGCGGCATAATGGGGAGATATTCAAGGGCGACGATACAAGAGTGGGTGTCAGAGAATTTATTGCGCTACGTGTATCTTGGACGTGATAGGTCAATGACTCATGGTGCAAGAGTACATAAAGCGTGTATACAAGGTGCGAAGCGGATTGGATACAAACTGGCTCATGGGCGGGGATAGTAGCCACGCGTTTGCTACCAAGTCTGGTGGCTTGGGCATTGCTCCAATAGGCTTGAGCGATGGCAGATCGTAAATGTAGAGTTGGTATGCAAGCCAAACATAGGCCATCATGATGTAAGCATTGCTGTAGTAGTACTATACAAAGTTTGAATGCTTTTGGGGAAAGCGGAGTTGTACGTGCATGTGCTTAGTTTACCACATGAAGATGATCTGGGTGAATACCTTGTACACGTCTTAGCGCCCAAATCTCCATATCTCCGTGAAATTTGAAAAAAAAAGACATTTGTCAAATATGGTCAAGATGCTGACAAAACACATACTTCACCCCTCACGGCCAGCCAAATACATAGAACGCGTTGATGCCAGTTCCCGGCGATCGTAGTAATTTTATACACATGATACAACATAAATACACAAAAAAAGTCCAATATTCTTTCCTGTCCATTTTTTTTCCAGTCATCACTCTCGACGTCCAACACATCGGCCCTCTATAGCCTGGCTCAACCGTCCAGTCTAGAACCCCCTAGCTTTTAGGAACTCTGCAATCTCACTAGTATGATGACCCTTAACGATAACGTGGCTCGTCAGACTGTTAATCTTGACATCCTCGTTCTTCTTGTTGAGGAAGACCCTCAGTTCGTCTCTCAGGGCGGACAAATCGCCCGTGATCTTGCGTATAGTAGTCTGGTGCAGATTGCCGCCGCGCTTATAGTCGGTGTAGATGGGCAGGTTCTTGTTTATTGATCGAGAGACGTGGTATTTGGGGGGCGGCAGAGATATCTTTTGGGTAGGCGGTATCTTTTGTTTCTTGGGTGATTTGGACTTTTGTGATGAGGGCGCGGTGGTAGCGTCTTTTGGCTTGGTGTCGGTGCGGGGGTGCTTGGAGGGTAGGACAGGCTTGGGTTCTGGTGGTTGTGCACTGTCGCCTTCGGTGAGGGATTCTGCTGCTGCGAGGTCGGCGGCGCGCTGGGCTTGTTGGGGTGTTGATGGGTGTTGAGATGAGGCGTTTGGTGGGAGCGAGGGATTGGTTATGGGCTTAGGATTTGGCGGAGGCTCTGTTAATAGTAAGTGGATATGCGCATATTTTGGCATAGAGGTGAAGAACTAACGCTCAGCTTGCCATGTGCTTGCAGTGGAGAAGCGTAGGCATTGTCGGGAAGCGATTACTCGCGGAGCGGCCAATGGCCTCAGCAGAGGAACGAGATATTGTATACGAGGCATTGTAATATACCAGAATCGAACAATCGCCTGTCAGGAAAAGAATAGCCAGGCGTGGGGATATGTGGCGCGGAGAATGACGATGCGGGCTTGATGCGTGAATTGCGGCTCAACACCACAAGTTTAGCGTACAAGGGTCCTCGCTTGCGCACAGTCGTTTTTCATTATCCTAACCCCACCACCACCGCCGCCCGCCGACAAGACGAATTTCGCGTCCACCACCGCCCCTCCCACCACCCTCTCCCACTCCCCCGCCGCCGACCACAACGACGACAATCGCCCACCATGGCGGACTCAGCGGCAACTGGCGCTAGCATCGCCGAACAATACTCGCTCCTTCCCAAGCTTATGCCCAACCTCGACCGCCACCTCATCTACCCGCTCCTCAACTTCTCGAGCGATGAAGAGGCCGAACAGACAGTCGAGCAGAAGAAGCTGCTCCTCGAACTTCTCAAGCCCACAAACATGACCGATTTCGTCGGCCAACTGCACCAGGACGTCCACGGCCTCTCCGACATGTCTGACGAGTACAAGAAAAAGCGCGAGGAGGTCCTGCAGAAGCGCGACCAGCTCGAGGAGGCCACCAGCAAGATTAGCGGTCTTTTGGATGACGAGAACGTCGTTACCAACCTGAGGAGTGACAAGCAGCAGAACTTGGCCTACCTCAAGGAGAGCCACGGCGTCGACATGGAAATGGTCAACCAGCTGCTCGAGTTTGGTCAGTTCCAATACTCGTGCGGTGTCTACCCACATGCTGCAGAGCTGCTCTACCGATTCAGAGTTCTGGTATGTCTCTGCCTGCAAGCGCACTCGCTCTGTATCATGCCTCGCTAACACACCTTTTCCAGACCACCGATGGTGACAAGGAACGCGAAGCCACGTGGGGTAAGCTCGCCTGCGAGATTCTGTCCGTCAACTGGGACTCGGCCATGGAGGAGATCAACAAGCTCAAGGAGATTATCGACACGCGCCTCTTCAACAACCCTCTCGCACAACTGCAGCACCGCACCTGGCTGATCCACTGGTCGCTCTTCCCCCTCTTCAACCACGAAACCTCGCGCGAAACCCTCACCGACATGTTCTTCTCCCCCGCATACATCAACACCATCCAGACAAACTGCCCCTGGATCCTGCGCTACCTTGCTGCCGCCGTCATCACCGGCCGCAACCGCGGCAGGAACTCGAACCAGTACCAGAAGCAGCTCAAGGACCTGATCAGGATCGTACGTCAAGAAGGCTACGAATACAGCGACCCTGTCACCGACTTCATCAAGGCCTTGTACATTGACTTTGACTTTGAGGAGGCACAAAAGAAACTCAGCGAGACCGAGGAGATTCTCAAGAACGACTTCTTCCTGTTGGGCGCGGCAGACCAGTTTGTAGATGCGGCCAGGCATCTGATTTCTGAGAGCTACTGCAAGATTCACCAGAGAATTGATATCAAGTAAGTTTATGGAAGTTGTTTTCGACTTCAGAACATTTGCTAATAATTTTCTTCGCAGGGACCTCTCAACACGTCTCGGTCTCTCCCAGGATGAGGGTGAGAAGTGGATTGTCAACCTCATCCGCGACACGCGCGTAGACGCAAAGATTGACTACCAAGCCGGCACAGTCGTCATGAACCATCCCCCACAATCCGTCTACCAACAAGTCATTGAGCGAACGAAGGGCGGCTTCTTCAGGACCCAAGTTCTCAGCGCGGCCGTTGCCAAATGAGCCCTAGTTTTCCTTGCAAAGAAAAATCCTTGTTCATGGCAAATAAATGGGGATGATGTGTATATGAACAGCTTCTGGGGAGGCAGATGACATGGTGAGGTGGGGGCAGGAGATGATGATGAACAAGTATGAGGATGAATGCCATGATCTATGATTGTGTTTGGGGGAAAGGAAGGAAGGAAAGAAAAAAACAATCAATCATGGGATTCCGGTTATTTTAGGCTTTGCAAACGGGAGCATGTACTTGATTGGCATCAGGGAACTGGCGTCTTTATTTTTCCCTTTTTTCCCAAAAAAAAGAAGGGGAGGGGTTTCGATGGCTCCTCCCTCTTTTTTTCTACATATATCTTTCTTCTCTCTCTCTTTTTCTTGTGGCTTGTGGCTGTGTAGACACAATGGATGGATGGATGGGGTCATCAGAGCGCTGTATATTTACGAAATACAGACCGGCGAGTTAAAGTTCGATATAATCTTGGGAAAAAAAGAGCAAGATTGATAAAAGTGGATGATAGGTCGAAAATGCAGTGACTGATCTTTTTTCTTTGGTTCCGATTCCCTGTATAAAAGAAAACCTACTACTTATACACAAGCCTATATAGTCACCAGACTAGATTCCTCAAACAACCACCAGGTTTACTCTATCCTTAACCGATACGCTTTTCACTCCTTCCTTCTTCTTCCTTCAACTTAAGAGCCCAAGATCAAGCAAAGTACCTAGGCTCGTTAAAAACATGGTACCTATGCCCCCTGACACCCTCTCCCTTGAACAAATCCGGGAACCTCAATCCAGCGGGAACCTGCGATTCGTGGACGAGCTCGTTGCTGGGATTCTCAGGTTCGCCAACGACGAATTTGCCGACCTGTAACACACGTATATTAGCACTTTTCTCCCAAAAAGAAAAAAAGAAAGGAGGGGGAAAAACATACCTGCAACTCCGTATCCGTAATTGTATGTCTCGAGACACGGGCATATCCCGTCCTCTTGAGTCCCTTGTAGAGAATGTACTCGCACCAGCGATCCCAATCGCTCGGATCGATATCCTTCATTCCGCTCTTCTCACCAACATAGGTATTGTAATTGCCCTCTCCGGGCTTAATGACGAGGTAGGAAAGCAAGATAGCTGGGCGAGGCGTGGCCTTCATGCGCTCGGCCAGGTATTCAGATTGCAAGCGGCGGTCCTCTGGGTCTTCTTCCTGGCCGGAGTGGAAGACGAAAATGTCAACCATTTCGCCGTAGGCGTCGATTGTGGCTTCGATGGCGGGGGCGAGTTCGCCTACAGGGGAAGGGAGGAGATGGTGTGTGCTGTTTACAATGGGGAACTTGGAGAGGAGGGCTGAACCCCATGTGTGCTTGTTGGGGCCGGGGCCAAAGTCGACGTACATGCCTAGGTCCTCGGCGAGGAATTGGGTGGAGTCACGGTTGCCCATGATGATGCGCTGCAGGTCGCTCTCGAGGAGACCAATAACGTCGACCTCGAGCTCTTTGATGAGATCGCGCATGCGGTGCTCGGATGACCACATGTCGTTGTCTAGAGAGAAATGGATTGTCCAGATACCGGCTGTGATGGACTTGGTCTCCGGGTGGTACGGCTTGTAATCGTAAGATGGGAAACGTAGGTATGCAACAGCAACAGCAATAATCTCCAGAACGCCGAGGATGTACATGTAGTATGAGCGCTGTCGGCTAGCGGCTGCAGTGATGACAGCCTTGCCCTTGTAGCTCTTGAGCACTGGTGGCTGGGCCGAGACGCTGAAGACACCTGCACCAATCTGGAGCATCATGCATGTCATAACCCAGTCAGTGTGTTCACGGACAAGAGGTCCACCAGGAACAAAGGCATATGCTACGACCCAGACGTGGAAAAGTACCATGAAGTTGTATACCAAGAAGGCAAGGCCAAAGGTGCGACCTGGTGCGTGACGAGCTGCGTGTGAAATGAGGATGGGTGCTGCTGCCATTGTATAGGTAGCCAGGACAAGAGCACCATAGAATCCAGTCCAGTGGCTGGTGGTGGTCAAGAAGGCGGCACCAATCGAGCCGACACCATAAAAGGCCCATGATCGTGAAAGGTTTGGCGCAAACAATCCAATCATGAGTCCAACACCCATAGCAAAGAGGGTCAGCGTGCCGTGAGGGACGGCCAAGGGTCCGCGAACGGGGTATCCTTCCCATACCCAGGAGATCATGGTGCTGGAATCGGACAGTAAGGAATGCATGGAGAAGAGTACTCCAGCAAGACCGAAACTGGCAAAGACCGAAGATCCTTTGGTGGGACCCTGGGCCGGAATATCAGCACCAGCACTTGCGGTCGATCTTGTTGATATAAGAATGGAAATGAAAGCGACTACAAGACCAGTCTTGTTCCACCCTCCGTTTTCCTCGTGCATGATTGGCCAGATGGGGTTGTTTGTCCAGAAAGCAAACTTGGCAACGCTAGAGGCGATAAGGCCAATGGAGAAAGCAGTGATGCGTCCTTCGAGGCGGTGCGGCTGCGACCTTTCTGCAAAGAAGGTGGCCGACCATGCCAAGCATGACATGGACAGGCCAAAGCCAACAGCGAAAAGTCGGTTGACAGGCGATGTAGTAAGGAAGGCGAGAAGCCCGGAAAGCGAAAGCAAATGGAAGAACCACACATAACGCGTGACAAGGTAGCGGACAGGCTTGATGCCGAGGAAGAAGGGTGTAACAGTGCACATGACCAAGGCCTCATAGCCAGAAATACCCATGTGCCAGAGGGGGAAGTCTGTTCAAAATTAGCAAATTATCGCTATTGAAGGATGGGGAACATACACCAGACACACACGCCGAGTGAAGTCAACATGGACCAGAAAACAAACTAAACAATGGTCAGTCATGTATGCATCAACTTCCGATCCAACATACTCCATTGTAGACATCTGCAGCTGCGTAGATGAGTCCAGCCCAGGAGAAGGCGCCAGAGAACGTTGCGCCAAGCTCTTTGTTTTTCCTATCACAAGTCAGATAGGTCAACGGATTTCTTCCAGATAGAACTTACTCTTGAACAGCATCGGAGACGGACTTGGAGCCGGCACTACAAAAAGAGTGGATCAGAGAGTGGTCAAATAAAATAGATTTGCGAGTCTATCTATATCGGGAGACGTGGAACATACACGCGAGATAGACCTCGTACGTCTTTGATTACAATCTCAAAGTGCTGGAACTCAATCATTGTGACAGCATCAAATGCTACATCGAGCAAGACCAGGGACCATTCGAAGAAAGCATAGATGGTGTACGCTGTAAGTAGGTAAGTATAGGGTGTATGATATGGACGCCAATACATACCTCCAGCAACGCGGTGAACCTTGTGCTGGATGAAGAAGTAAATCAGCGGTACAAGTGTTGCGAAGAAACTTCCTGCAAAAATCTTTCTGTACTTGATGGCAGTGGCATTCTGGGGACTCAGGGAGAGACAACCGATGGTCCATGGCAGGGTTGCGACCAGATACGAGATCATGAAGATGTCGTGCCAGTCATGATCGTCGGTAGAGGTCACATATGTCCATCCTCCGCAGGTTAATGTTCGGAAGATGCCGACACCAGCAATGAACTTGGGCAGGGACGAGTTCGGACGACGAGTCAAGACGTACCAGAGGCCGACAAGTGCGAACCGAGGACCTATTTTGGTTAGCTTGACCCTGTAACAGCTATCCCAGGTCATGTACCAGATGTAAGAGCAATGAACAGCATGAAGACGGAGCGTTCTGGGTAGCGGTCGCCGATGGTCGCGGACACGGAGGGGAACCATTCATCTGGGTAGCCCTGGGAACATTGTCAACATTGGTCCTGAGACAGCATAGCACAATGACTGACGTAGAATTCATTCTGTACAATCTTGTGGTAGTGTAGCCCTCTATGATTGTTTAGCGTGATCGCGTGGGGTGTGAGTGGTGGTGGAGCAATTCGCGTACATTCCGACTACGAGGGCTCCGACAAAGGCGCCTAGATTTCATTTAAGCACGAGCGTATATGGAGAGATTGGGTCGACGAACTGTAGGCCATGGCGGTATGCGAATAGGAAATCCATTTTCCATTGAACTACATGGTATGAGCTGCGGAGGTCTCGGGAGTGCCAGATATGCCATTGCGTACCGTTGCGACGGTGTCGCCGTCCTTGTCCTTGACCATGATGCAGCAGTTGAATGGCCCTTCAATAACCCTCCAGCATTGAAAACAAGGAAAAGAAGCAAAAGAGCGTGGAGAATGGTGTGATGAATTGTCCAAGATGGCAGTCTCCTGAAGTTGGTACGTAAGGCCAGGGTCCGCGCTCCACAGGCCAAGGCGCTATATGCGGGAGCAACTCTAGCCTAGCAGTTTTCTGGCCCGGCCAACTTTTTTATACTCGACTTTTGCCAGCAACACCACGCGACGCAAACATGGCTGGCCCGAGTGACAAGGCGCGCTTCTACCTCGAGCAGTCGGCGACGGAGCTGAATGAGCTTGAGCGCAAAAAAATCTTCAGCAGGGTAAGCCAGGACAGACGCTCGCGCAATGGCAGTCTTGCTAATAGTGAGGATAGGAAGAAATCAGCTCTATAGCGAAGAAGCGCTCGGATTTCGAGCACATTATCAATGCCCGCGGCTCGCACCCAGAAGACTATATGCGCTATATTGAATTCGAAAAGAACGTCGACGCTCTCCGCCGCAAGCGAATAAAGCGACTAGGCGCCCGGTACAAAGGCTCTGGACAGCGAACAATCTACCTTCTCTACAACCGCGCGACAAGGAAATTTTCTGGTGACCTGGCGCTATGGATGCAGTATATCGACTTTGCGCGCAGGGACAAGGCATACAAGAGACTGAACGACATCTTCACCTCTGTCGCTCGGCTGCACCCTACCAAGCCAGATATATGGATTCTAGCAGCAAACTACTTCATGGACACCCAGGCCGACATTACCAATGCGCGAAGCTACATGCAGCGAGGGCTACGTTTTTGCAAGAAGTCCGAGGTCATGTGGCTCGAGTATGCCAAACTGGAGACCATCTATGTGGGCAAGATTGCGGGCAGAAGGAAGATTTTGGGGCTTGACGTTGATCGCACAAAGAAGGACGAGGACGGCGATGAGAATATGATTGCGCTTCCAGAGGTGACGGCTGAAGACGTGAATCCCAGCCTGAAGCAGGACGATGGTGTAGACGAGGTGGCTCTACAGAACCTTGCGGCAGCACCAGTACTTACTGGGGCTATTCCCTTGGCAATCTTTGACTCTGCTATGAAACAGTTCCAGGGTAGCCCCAGACTGGCCGAGAGATTTTTCGGCATGTTCGCCGAATTCGAACAGGTAGCGTGCATACCACGCCTGCTGCAGCATGTGCTCGGTTATCTGCAAGAGCAGTCACCACAGGCGGTTGAGACTGCCATGTGCAAGTTCCATATGCAGTTGTACGGAAGCGACCCCGCCGATCCCGAGACTGCGCTTAGGCTGAGCAAGGCATTGGACGTGATAAGCTCTACCGTTCAGCAACACCCTAGAGAAAGTAGCAGGGTTGCCGAAGTCGTCGTTCGGCGGCTCTTATCTTTGGACCGGTTACTTGCGGGTGTGGATTCATCGCTGCAGAAGGCATCGCGTGCTGCGCTGCGCAAATATGTTCGCGCAATGGAAGAAGGACAAGATAGGGGGGATAGGGTGGTTGGCTTGGCCCGATTGCTGCAGCAGGAGGGGAAGAAAGATGATGCCGATCTATTGATGCAGATGGGCGTCAAGTACTGGGGTGAGAACGGTGAGGTGCAAAAGTATATTTCAGCAATGGAAGGGTAAAAGGAGAGGGTGTGAGTGGGCATAAAGTCAGCGGATGAGTTGTAACCAGCATAGCCTGCATTCACGTCGTGTAGTCTTGTCAAGGCGCCGAGGGGAGCGGACGCCATGTGCTACACCGCTACGGCTCTACTCGCTCTATCGTGAGATGGTGCCATGGCGGAGTGAGTGCAACCACGTCAGCTGCATGTGCACCTGAGCAGCGGGGATTGTGGCAAGACGGCTCCCCCGCAGAGGCGCATGTATACTACTAGATGCTTCAGTCATCGGTGCGGATGCGTCTGGAAGACTTCTTAGCGCTATGGACTTTTTTTGTCTTGAGGCGGCGCTCGTTATTGGATTTTTGGCTAGAGTTCTTATCAGCTTTCGGGCCGTCGCTTGGTCGCTTGATCGCTTGGACCGTCGGACACGGTGCAACCAGGAAAACGTACAGGCGATTGATGCGCTGAAGCTGCTCTGGCGAGGCCTCGGCGGGCACAGCATTACGGCCGGCGAGGACAATGGCCTCGTACAGGCGACGGTAGCAGCTGCGGGCGTTGTCCGACTGCTTGCGACTGTCGTCGGCATGGACGACGATGGTATTTGAGCGTGGGGCCAGGTAGCGCAGGCGCTTGATTTGACTATGCAGAGCTGCAGGGACGTGGGGCAGCAGGGCGTCGAGGGGCACTTTGAGCGTGGCTTTGGAACTGACTCTGGCAGACGGGTAGATGTGGTTAGGCTGGCGGGCGGCGACGAGAGGACGAGTCGAGTAATATTAGGTGTTGGTCATACATACTTGTTCACGTTCTGGCCACCAGGGCCCGATGATCTGCTAAAGGTCAATTCGCCGATAGTCTCGAGAGGGATTGTCTGTGCATGCAGCGCCGCGAGCCACGTCCGGGCAGCATCAAGGCCGTCGTCGGCGCCGTGGGCAGGCGAGCCCGAGGGCGAGGAGGATGAGGAAGACGACGAGTATGGGCAGCAGCAGACAATGCGCCGCGGGAAGCGGGTCGTGGCCGGGGAGCAGCGGACCACAGGGGCGATGCAGGAAACGGGCACAGCAGGGCGAAGAATGAGGCGCGGTTGGAGCAGCAGTCGCAGTCGCAGTCGCAGCAGCAGCAGCGGCAGCGGCAGCGGCATGGCGGTGGTTTGTCAAGATGATCTCATGCAGCGCGGCTAGATGAAGGAATTTACTACACAGCGAGGAGCAGATACATAGTTGGGGCCTCGTCCATCCACATCCATGCCATCCATGCCTACTTACTTGTTACTAGCTAGCCATAGTAGCCCCATCGCATCCCTCGCATATTCCCACCCCCCTTGCAAGCGGGCCCGGCCGCTAAAAAACAGCCATCACGTGTCGAAGCTTAACCATCGCAGTGCGCGGTTCCAGGCTGGTCTCGGAGGGCTCGACGCCGAGTCCCAACATCTGCTCTTCCGGCGCACTCTCTCTCTCGTCGACGATTCCTCTTCGCTCAACTCTACGCCAGCTTGACCTCACCCATCAGCAGCCTCTTGCTTGCCTTGTCACCCCCCCAACCCCCCCCAGACGGGCTCGCACCTTGCTCCCCGTGCCTGACGCACACGGCCTGCCTGCCCGCCCGCCTGTCTGCCCTGCCTACTCTCACCTGCCTGCTCTCACCTGCCTGCCCCAACGCCGACGTCTGCTACGTCTGCGCGTCGTGCCAATCTTCTAACCTTTCTCCGACCATCGCATATAGCACACACAGTAGCCAAGCCCCGCCACCAGCTTCTTCACCTACGCCTAGTGTACCAGATCCTGCAGCCTCCTTCTCTCTCTCCTTCTACCTCCATCTACACCTACCTCTCTCTCTCCAGCCCTTGTTGCGACGGTGCGTTTTCGTAGATGCTTTGAGTTGACCTAGACCCTCGTCATCCCGCGCCGCCTGCTCTCTGCCAGCCCATGCGCTCTGGCCCAACAGTCTACATGAGACCCAACTCCAGCCCGCCGCAGGAAGCTGAGCACATCCGCCATCAGTCGCTGACGCCAGAGAGCCCGCGTCCGCAAAACGTCCCCTCGCCCGCCAACATCCCAATTCTCGTAGAGCACATGGATGCGGCCTATAATGATCTCTCACACAGCAACGGCTCCCACTCCACCCCGGCAGACCACTTTGCACAGCATGCGCACAACCACCACCACCACCCCTCGAACGCCATCACTTCCGCGCCCTACTTTGCCGACCAGTCGCAGCAGCAGCAGCAGTCATCGTCGACCGCCGCAGCCGCTGCCGCCGCCGCTGCTGCCGCCTACCAACACTTAGCAGGGCCTGCAGCACCAGGGGGAGGAGATAATGCGCAGGCGGGATACGCCCCGTCGACAGGCTATGGTGTCGGCAACATGGGTACGCAGCCGCACGCTACCTCAATGCAGAATTTCTCTTCGCAGCACCCGTCGCACCCTGCCTCGGCCGCTGATGCGCCCCAGGCGCAACCTCAAGACCTCCATTCTGCGTACCCATACTCCCATGACAGTGCCTATGCCGCTCAGCACGCGCCCACTCAGTCAGCCCAAGGCGCTCACTACCAGACTGAAGCGCGCACTGGGCCCAATATTGACGTTCAAGCCCTATTGGATTCTCTGACGCCCGCTGCGACCACGGCCAACCCGGGCCAATATACTGCTGCTTCCCATATGCCTACCCAGTCTGCGCAGCCACAGCAGCACAATGCCTCGTCGTTGCCATCAGCCGCGACCAATCTGCCTGCGAGGCCGCCCACCCAAGAACAGCCCGCTACGCACCCAAACTATGACCCCAACGATGATATCAGATCCCATCATCCGCACAGCCAGAGACCATCCAATGTCCAGCAGAGAGGCAGCGCATCTCTCCAGCCCTTGAATGCGCAGAACCGCGACTTTGCCAGCTCCAATGCCTCTGGCCAAACCCAACAGCAAACACAGCGCAGTTCAACGCCTGACGATGAGGATCAGCGATGGCCGCCCGAAGTGAATAGGAGATATGAGGAGTTTTTGGAGCAGGAAAGGAAATTTGTCACCGAAGGCCAGTGGGATCAGTTTCCCATGGGCTCTCGACTTTTTATTGGTGAGCCAAGTTGATTCCTAGGCCACAGCTATCGAACTAACAGTTTCAAAAAAAGGCAATCTACCCACAGAAAAAGTTACCAAGCGCGACATCTTCCATCGTTTCTATCGCCATGGCAGACTTGCACAGATATCAATCAAGCAAGCATATGGTTTTGTTCAGTTTCTAGACGCCGAGTCGTGTCGTAGGGCACTAGACACTGAGCAGGGACAGGCGGTTCGTGGGAGGAAAATGCGTATGTCAACTTGTCCATGGACATGTAGTGTGCAGCCAACTAACAATGCCAGATCTCGAGATTTCCAAGCCCCAGCGAAACACCAAGAAGATTGACCAGCCGACCCCCGCTTCGCGCCGGCGTTCACGGTCGCCAGACTATACAAGGGGTGGCACAGGGCCCTCGCCCAGGGATAATCGCTATGGACCACACCCAAATTCCATGTCCCCTCGGGATAGGGATCGACGTTTCCGTGACCGGGATGATTACCGACCCATGCGATCGCCCTCACCTCGGGGCCCCGCACGGGGCATGAGATCGCGGGACAGGAGTCGCGATAGGTTCGACACGCGGTACCGCAGCAGATCAAGGACACCGCCCCGGCGGCACCGGAGTCCATCCCCGCGTCGCGATTACACAGAGGATGGGCTGGACCTTCGCCGCCGACTACCTCATGAAGTACCTGATATTCAGATCCTTGTTCTTAACGAAGGTCTCCCTCGGTATGTCAATCCTTCACAACTTTGATTGAAAGTAGCACTGACGTTCCAACAGGGATTTCATCCGCTACGTCGAGGATACTTTCCGCTCGCAGAATCTACGAAGTAACGTTCTCATACTCAGTGGCCGTTTCCCCGAGCCAGCCGTAGTCCGAAGACAGATTCTAGAGGGCGTTCTGGCCATTGTACGACTCGACACTACAGGCTTAGCCAAGGGCAAAGTCAGCGTTCAGATATTCGATCGACGTGCAGGTGCCAACAACGTCCAATTCAACGGTGAGTACTCTGTTTCAGTTTCCACGAATGCCACTAACATATTCCTAGAATATGCCGACCTAGATCCGACAACAGCTGGTCTTTTGGTCAATAACGCCAAACAAACTCAATCTCGCTCGAACATGCCGCCCTCTACTTCGTACTTTCCTCCCAACATGCCACCACACTACTCCCAGCCCAACAATGCCTTCCCGCCTCTCCCCACCAGTCAACCTAACATCTCCAATTTGATCGCCTCCCTTGATGGCGCTAGCCTGTCACAATTGCTCGGTGCAATGTCTGGTAGTAACATGGCTCAGAATACGCAACCAACGGCCAACCAGGGACTGAATGCGGATTTGGCACGACTCCTTGCCCAAGTACCAAGCCCTGCCCAAACCCCGGGCTTTGGACCAGCGCCCCCGCCCCATCTCGCGCAGTTGAATAGCCAGTTTCCCGCACTTGCTTCGCTCCTTGCCAACCAAAACCAGACGGTCGCCCCGCCCGTCCAGGCTCCCGCACAGTCTGGCCCTGCCCCAGACATGAACGAGATCATGGCCCAGCTTGCTCAGTATCAACGCTGAGATAGACCGTTCTCGGATACCCCCAAAAGCATTTTAGATACGCAGGACGGCTGTCCCCAACGTCCACCCTCTCCAAAAATCTCCGCCATTACTACCAATTACCCTATCTTATGTATCACTCCCGTTCGCGTTTGCAGTCGACACATTTGTAGACCCCAATCCCTCCAACTGCGCCACCTAGATCCCTCGAACTTTAGGGCCAAGCCTTTGACGAACCAGCTCACGAAGCCCATTGTAGCACCATCCGGGTCCATTCTGCCAGTGTTTTCGCCCCTGCCCCTCGCAATCCCTACATCCCAAGACCCTCGCAGCAAGATTCCGATCCAGCAACGTACCGAAACCATGCAACACGCCCTGACCGCACCAACATTTCAAGTTATCCCATTGGCTCTAGCGACTGCCCAATCCCGGCCAAGCGGGTTCCGAAAGCCCCAGATACGGCCCCTCGTAATGACTAGATCCATATCTGCAATCGCGGCTTACTTACTTCTTGTACTTTTCTTCGCAACAGCGAAATTATCTGTATTTATTCCTGTCTTGCTTCATTTTCATGTACGGTAGTTTCCTTTATCAGTTTTTGGGTTTCCTAACATTCCGCTTGGAAGGTCTCATGGGGCGCTCAGCACTAACGATTTCATCATGTATGGACCGAACCTTTTCTCGGGTTTTTGATGGCTGGTCGGAGTTATCTGCAGCGTTTACAAGTGGGTTTGTTTTCAGGGGAACTATTGGCGCAATCGGTAAAACTGCAATTGAGATATGGCTGTAGCGCGGGATGTAAAATTAGCAATGAATCATAGCTTGCATTGTCTTGCACAAATTAAGAAGTTCGCATCGAGTTCAATTGCCAATATTCAAGATGACGTTCATGTGAAAAAGTTAATTAGTTTACCTAGTCGGGTTAGCGTCAACGCGAGGTGTGATGACATCGCGATAACGGTGCCTTGACACATTTTTGACATCGCGTATTGGCGACGTCGCAACTAACAGAAGTCAACCATCGACGATTGCTCAAGTTCCCCGCAGGTCGCTATAGTCATACGACTCAGGATTTGCGATGAAATCCCGGCCGATATTTTCCACTTTCGTAAAACCTCTGCAGTCGAATGGCGCATTTGCGAGATTACCACGTCATCGACATTTATACACGCGGGCTACCACAACAGGGTTGAGCTGCCAGATATGGCATGAGAGGTCACAGTACACCACACAACAAGCGGGATGTGAAAAAATAGTCGGGGTGCAAGGCAGGCGGCATGCCTCATCATCAGCAGCACCAGCGAAAAGGACAGGTCACAATATCACAGCAGCACCTCCGCCATTGAACAAGGCCAACAGTACAAGAGTGCCTGCAAAGACCAGCCCCTCGCGACCTCTACAACCAGCACGGAGTTCTCCGTCCTTCACTCTTCCTCCAGCACCGATACAACCGTCGAAAAGCGCCACCACACCAACCCTCCGAGCCATCGAGAAACTCAATCCCCCACCCTTTACCTACGCCCCCGAAATTTCCGTCCCCGCCCGAAAAGCCGACCAGAACCTGATAAAATGGCTCTGGAGCGCCGGTCGCGCATACCTCGCCTTCTATAAAAAAGGGATCTCGCACGTGCGCCAGACCGCTAAATTAGCAAAGTCTCTGCGCAAAAAGGCAGCTGCTCATACCCCGAAGAAGCCAATGACGGAAGTCTTGACGAGGGCGGAATGGCAGGTTGTAAGGCGAAGTAGGCGCGATGTCCTGCGCCTCCCTGTCTTTGGCGTCTTGATGCTTTTGCTAGGGGAGTGGCTGCCGGTTGTCGTTTTGTATCTTACACCCGTTATACCAGAGGTATGCCGTATACCGCAGCAAGTGGAGCGTACACTACGGAAGCGCGAGGACAAACGTCAAGATCGTTTGAGGAAGATTAGTCTGCAGTCTATGCAGTTGCTGGGTAAAGATCGGCCGGCTACTGGTACGTCGTTGTCTGATTCTTCATCATCTTCGGGAGCCATGACCAAGGGCAAGAACTGGAACGACATGACTCTTTTCGAACTCTGTGTCTCGGCCGCCAAGCTAGATGTTTATCCCCCGGTTTTCGACTGGGTTCCCCTCTCCCCACCCAAGTTTTGGCTCCAGCGCAATGTCAGGCGCAAAATGCAGTATCTAGACACGGATTCCAAGCTCATTGAGCGGGATGGCGGACTTGCGGGGTTGAATGCTGAAGAGGTGAAACGTGCGTGTGTGGAGAGGGGGGTGCAAGTGTTGGGTAGGAAGGAAGAGGAGTTGAGGAGGGCGTTGGTGGGGGTTTGGGCTGAGCTCAAGAGATAGAGTCGTTTGATATAGATGGATAGATGAGGGGGGTTTTTAGATCTGCTGGGTTTGTACATAGGGAGGATATACCACTCCCAAATATTTATCCGTTTTTTTTTCTCTTTCAAACTGGAGATTGCAGTAAAGCCAAACTTCTAGTTCCAACTTACTCATGATCAGAATGCTTACCTTTTGTTTCTTCTCAGTTCTGGGGGATATCAGGAGGGGTGGTGGAGGGAATATCCCTTTCATCATGATTTTTCCCCCCTTCCTTTCCAGTATGTTTATGTATTACACGAGTAACATGTCTGTGTGTGTGTGGAGTTACGATATGTAAGTATTATTTTCATATATCATACACCTTACCCTTCACACAATAACAATCTAGGTTTGAGAGTTAATGTTCTAGTTTAGACCCATAAATACGTTCTGTGTAAGGCGGATGAGGAGGAGGAGGAGGGTGAAAAATGAATTTTGCTGGGGTTTTTTCTTTTTTCTGGCATGCAAGAAATGTAAGGTTAGTTTCGGGGACTGGGTTAAGGAAGGGTGGAAATGGAATGGTTAGGTGGGGTTTTGAGCGGTGTTTACGAAGGATAAGTGTGGTGGTGTTAGGAGACTGGGGGGGGGGGGGGGGTAAAGAAGGGTGTTTGGAAGTTGTGTTTGCGGGATTTTTTTTGAGAGAGAGATTAATGGCTTTGTTTGGTTAGTAGTTGGCTAACTCGTTGCGAAAGAGCAAGATAAGAATGAAGAAATATTCAAAGCAACGAAGCCATCAACTTGTCGCTCGGCTATGTGTTGCAAAACTAGAGTAAATTGAAAGGGGAAAAACAAGCTTCTTATACACAAGTGCACAAGAATTATGGTGTGACCGCCATGCATAGGGGCGTGGGGGAGTCCCCAAGAGGGATTTTTGTGCATGAATCCTTTTTGCGGGGTTAGTTTTGGATAAGGAGATTACATGATATGTTTCCTATTGTAGGAATTGAGGGCTTGGGTGTTGGATGCTGTGTTAGTCAAAGGGCGCGGGTAGGTGATGCGATGTGGTGGGGGGGGGGAGTGTGATGTAAATGGAGGCAACATCTATCGATCAAGCACCCCACTACCTTTCCCCACCTTGTCTCTTTGTTGTCTCTTTGATCCTCTGTTTACGATATGCTTTGTCGCATTGTAAATTGTATGTGCTTTTATTCGTCCATCTTCTACCTGTTCGTACAGATTCTCGCACTGAAGCTGAGTTTACTTCAAAATAGCAATTGAGTCTACCATGGAGCTAGAAATCAGCACCGATGAAATGTTGCCACTGTTGAGATAAGAAAAGACTGGTCCAAGCTCATTGGCGATACCTAAGCGCTCTATGACTTGAGATGGAAGAATCAAGACCAATAGGGATATAGGCGACGGATCTGTGTTGCCGTTGTTACCGTGGATTGGGGAATTGTGTGAGTAATGGCAAGGCTTGTAATAGGTCACAGCTCAAAAGGGCCCATCATGCTGCGATTGCGAAATTCAGAGGTGCCAACACACTCTGCATCACGGTCAACAGGTTTGGATTCCAAGTATAGACACTTGGCTTGGATGTTCGTTGGTGTTGCACCAGCATGCGCACGGCAGACTAAGCCCAAAGGGGACTCGGTGACGCACTAAGCCAGGGCCGGTGAATCCCCGGCGACACGTCGGACTTGATGCAAGCAACTGACCATCAACGACCAGTTTGCGCCTCTCTGCACACAGCCCTTGGTAGCCTGCGTCGCCGGGGAGGATGATTCTGGCAAGAGACCCGCGACTACGACATGGCATTTGAGGTGTCGTATGATCTCGAGAATGAGCAACAGTTCTGGGATGGTGAGTGTGAAAGCGTGCGAAAGAGCAACGAGGAGAGACTGCGGAGAGCCACACTCACAGTCTTGCAACCCCGCCAACCAGCCACTCCAACTAACTCGCGCGGCACACACATACAGAACTCGACGACATCGTCTCCACGCGCTGCCACCAGCACGAGATAATCGACAATTCGCTGCGGTCTTTTCTCAATGTCACGACCAGTTACAAATGTACGCTGCTGCTGCTGCTGCTGCTGCTACTGCTGCGCCTCCCCGCCCGGGGGGTTCCCTTTGCCGTGATTTCAAGTCGTTGACCGCGAGCAGCCGAGTACCTCCAAACCGACTTTAGCATTGCAAAATGTATCTTTCGCATGCTCGAGGGCGAGCTCTATGCCAAGAATAAACAATACGTACGGCGGCAGATAATATATTGCCTATTGCAAGTACGTGGGATGGTTGTGCTGCTGGATATACGTTGGCTCTGGTGGGCTGACCAAGGATAACAGGAAGATGACAATCCCACGCTTCACATTGTCGCCGCTTTCCTCTTGTACGATGGTCGAAATAGCAGAGATGACGAGGTCTTTGAGATGATGCATTCCGAGGGCACGTTTGCGAGGCTGGTTGAGTTGGTGCAAAAGGAGAGTGTTCAGGAAGAAACATCATTGCATCAGCTGCTGCTGCAATTGCTGTACGAGTCTTCGCGTATTCAGCGATTGACCTACGATGATCTCAGTACGTCTATCATATTTGTCTTACAACCTGCTGCTCACGGCTAATGCTAACATTGGGATGTAGTGGCTGTGAATGATGCTTTCATTCTTTACCTTTTGGGGATTATAGAAGGTGCCTCTGATGACGCGGATGATCCGTATCACTACCCCGTTATTCGCGTGCTGGTTGGTCTACTCCCAAATACTTCAAATTCCTACGCTGACTGTTGGATAGCTGGTTTTGAACGAACAGTATCTGGTGGCATCTACCACTCGTTACAGCGACGGACGGACTGGCATAACAAATCGCGTCATCAAAGCTATATCCACCCACGGCATGACTTACAAGACCTTTGGATGTAATCTGATTCTTCTTCTGAACCGGGAGTCGGAGACGTCCCTTCAACTTCTTATTCTCAAAGTACTTTACCTTCTCTTCGGCAATCCCTCGACCGCCGAATACTTTTACACAAACGATCTTCACGTGTTGGTCGACGTCATTCTGCGCAACCTCATCGATCTCCCCCACGACTCGGCCGCTGCAAACGCATTACGACATACATATCTCCGCGTACTCCATCCGATACTCTTGCACAGCCAGATCAGCCGACCGCCCCACTACAAACGCGACGAACTACTGCGTCTCCTCCGCCTCCTCGTATCAAGTGGCAACCATTTCGCGCCCGTAGACGAGACGACCGTTCGACTCGTGAATCGATGTACGAGCGTAGAGTGGCTTCAGCCTGCTGCTGCCGAGTCGCCTACAAACGGCAATGGTAGCAGACAGTCTCCGGTCGAGCAACCAGCAATGGGCCAGAAAGAGTACGCACGGAGAGCATTGGGTATGACTGTGCAAGGCGGAAATGAAAGTTCAACCAGTGTCTTGGAAATCGCGGGCCACACTGCTCAACCTGGAGTTCAGACGCCGAGTATGACGAAGCATGCGCGATGATTTGGGGAGAAACAAGTGTAGGGGTGTGTGTGTTTGTATGGGTTTGTTTCGTGTCCGGTGTGTTTTAATTATTTCATGTTGTGAATTTGGCTTTTCGTGAAAGGGGTTTCGAGCAAATGCTTCTTCTTTCTGTGAGCGAGTTGAGATATCCACTTGCATTATCCTTTATGAGTATATTGTGGTGAGAAGGCTTTTTCTTTCTTTCAGCAGTTCAGATTCCTTTGATTGATTCCGACCAAGTATAGCGCGAAATTCTCATTTCATCACGCACATCTCCGTCTTCTCGTCATATGACCTTTTGCCCAACCCTCCGATCCAGGCGGAAACAAGGGACCAAGCCCCGCTAAAAGGATCGACATGGCGGAAATGTCACGCGCCAAGACCTGTTGGGGCGCGGCGATTACTGTACTACTTCCATTCCACGTGAGTGTATGAAGGTATTTTTTCTCATCCACCTGGAGAAGGGGGTGGGGGAGTGTAGGGTGGGTTGGGTATAAGTGATGTCGTCACGATCTTGGGCTGCATACAGGATGTATGTATGTAATCACAAATTCAGAAGTGCCGAGATCAAGTGGCCTTAATTTATCGGTGAGATGTTGTGTTACGCGTTGTATACCGGTACCAGAAGGTTGCAGATGAGCGAGAGAGTTTTTTTATAAGGGCTTGGCTTGACTGAGCTGGAATGGTAGTAAGGTGGAGATTGTCATATTGTGCGTTATTTGCTTGCCATTTTTCCCCCAAGGGAGAAGGTAATATGGGAGAATGTTGAAAAGCACTACATATCTCTTCCCCCGTCTTTTATCGGATATACCCAGTCGTTACATAGGTATGCAAGTCTAAACTTGAGTAGAGTCATTTACACTTTCCTCGGTATTCGATCATCCGGTTATTTCATTCATGGTGGTTGTGTAGTACGTGAGCATGTGAGTGAGTTTGAGGCTGCACCATGTACGGTACTCCAAAACAACCAAAGCTAGCGTAAGCCTTTGCCAATGATACGCTACGAGGTACGCCAAGGGACATGTAGAAACACCGGCGGAAAACGGTACACAAGTGATCTACATAACGCTTTTCCAGCGTGACTAAATGACTCGGGTCATTCTTTTGCTTTGGGTCCCATTGTAGCGGTTAGTTTGCTAGGCGCAGAGTTACTTTTGAGGCATCCTTGCCACCCATAGTAGGCGTGGCGCTAATTTTGAGTTGCCCTTTCTGAGTATGTTTCCCCCTTTCCCTCTGCCTTACATCTTGCAGCCATGACCGCCATTGCCGAGACGATTGAGCCGTTAAGCCATCGTGTGCGTTACTTTGTGGTTTGGCTTACGGCGCAGTTCTAAACCCCGGGAGGAATGGTGTGTACCGGATACACCGCCCCGACTGTTATCACACGTGCGGATGTAGATGCAGTAGTGCGCGGGCGGGAGATATATGGCAAGTCAAACGGCGTCGAAGGTTACATCGATGCAAGTGGTGCAACATGAGTAGTGGGTGTTGGCAACTGCCAAAATCTCTGGACGCATCATTATACTCGTGGCGTTTCTTGGGATGCAGTCGCAGTGTATATGGCTTTTGATTATGAAAGTATGCCGAGAAAATGCTGTATACAGTAATGTTAGCCTGTATGCATGGTTTGTTTCATTGAGCGATGGCGGGTCTGTGGCACCTTGGTAGATACAGGAACAAGTGTATCCGGGAAAATATGTTAATGGTTCCCAGAAATAAATGTATCACAGAATTTAAATTAAAAAAAGGGAGACTTAACAATGCCGAACTTTGTGATACCGCAGAACATCCTGCATCTCCGACAGCACCTGCATTGGCATCATCGATTGAACCGGTGGTTGAGAATTCACGGTCCAAACGGTCGGCACCGTAAACTTAATAGATGGTTGTCCATCACGGTTCACTCCCCACCTTTAGCCGGACTGTATCAAATGCCAATGGTCATTAGTACCAGTGCTGCCTCGTCTGTGCACTAGAACGAGGGATCTGCCATCAGTCCGCCCTTTCGGACAAACAAGCACCTGTATGTTATTGTGGTTGGAGAGCAACACCAAATTACTCTGCAAACTATCTGGACATCTTGGTAGCAAAACCCAAGATTCCAAGATCCAACATCAACCAAACTCTCTCCTTCCGTCACACCGGTACACCGGCACCAAACAGCTAAAAACAAACTCTTCGCCGTCCGCTCACCACCCCACAGCGACACACGTTTTCATATCTCGACACTTGTTTTTCCATCCCTCACCGGCTGATTGCCGCCCCCACACCAGCCAAGGCACTCAACAAAGACCAGCACAAAACGTAATCACCAGACACAGGCACGCCGTTCACCCATGCCGAAACAAACGTGTACACACACTCACACAAAAAACCAAGCAAGCAGCCCAGCCACCCCCCGACCAAACTTCACACCTACACTACACGTCGCACTCCCCTTCCAACGGCCACATCATCCACCCCGTGTCCCCCCGACAATGATGCCATACCCACGTGCCCCAAAACCACCGTATTCGCCTTCCCTTCTTCTTCTTCTTCTTCTTCTTCTTCTTCTCTTAGAAAAAGAAAAGAAAGCAGGAAAACGAAAGTATCATCGTGCACTGATACATTGAATACGTAAATACCATACACGTCCAAAAACACACACACACACCCATCGTTCACCCTCCTTCGCTTACAGCCAACTTCGGATTCGCAAAGCAGGACAATTCGCCTTTTTTGTTTCTTTTTTTACTGTATACAATACCTGTCATATTTGGTATATGTGACTAAACCGCTTTTTTTTCGTTTTTTTTCGCGTTTAGATGAGCGCAAAGTCAAGACAAAAAAGCACGTTGTTGTAGATATTTGGGTGGTTTGACCTTTCCCGGGTTCGCCCCGGGGATGAATTCTAAACCTGTGGCATGTGAAAATGCGGATGAGAGGGGAGAAAAAAAAGTGCCGTTGTTTTGGTTCTTTTCTGCACATGCAGGATAAAGTGGTGATGGTGGGTGTGATATGGGAGGTTGTTTGGAAGCGAGCAATTGCGCGGCGGGCGCGTGGTTTGTTTACTGGACCGCTGAAGCAGGGAAAGAAAGCGCTTGGTGTTGCGGCCCAAGCTTGGCGGAGGAGCCTGGACGGGGCGAGAAGGTGGGAGTGTAAAGCAAATGCGAAGAATGCCGGAGCGAACTATGGTGTAATTGCTTCAGGTGGTGAGCACAGATGCGCCGGATAGAAGGTCATCACGATCGCAAACACAAATGCCATTTCCAAAATTAAAAGTTTCGATTTCTAAATTCGTACAATCCGTAAACTGATGCTCAACCCATGTATCGAGGAGCTCCCTGCGCTTACGTTGTCTCGAAAAAAAAGAGCGTGCTTTTCTCGTGGACCAAGACATGTTCGTAAGTGAAGGGGAAAGCCCTCGATGTGTCCTCCAGGGAAACCGAAAAAGAGTCCGCCAAAGAACAAGAAAAACAACAGAGTCGTGACAAGCAAAACTGTCCAGTAAACCCTACGTGTGTCTATGTGAAAAGTCATGTCTCGTGTCGAACAACGCTTCACCAATCGCGGAGAAAAATACAGTTATAACCGCAGAAGGAAAGGGGGGAATCATAAGAAGAAGAAAAAAAGACTTTAGGCCATGCGGCCTTGGTGGTCGCAAATGCTCTCGGAAGATGCATTTCGCGAGACGGCGTTGCTGGGAACACGAGTTGGGGCCTGTGACAATGGACCAGGCGATGAATCACTACTTTTCCGCTTCTCAGACATCTCGGATTTGCCGTATTTGAGCTTGAGGATTTGCCCAACACGCTGGCCATTGCTGCATGGAAGGTACCAGCGTGACACGAGCATGCAAGCACATGAGAGCAACAGATTAGTGCCGGACCACAACTGAACGGTGAGGTAGGTCTGGTAACGGGTGATGAGGTGTCCAGCAATAATGGGACCGGTGAGGGCTGGGATTGCAGCAAAGGTGTACATCATGCCGGTCCAGTGGCCAAGTTTCTTCTTTGCAAAGTGTCTAGTATCCGGTGCAGTGTAGGAGCAGTTGAGAATATTGCCGATAGATGCTGGGGGCAGGCCAATAACCATGCCAGAGAAGACGCCAAACACGACACAGAATGCGAGAGCAGCTGTCTCCGACCCTGCGAGTGTCCAGAGAAGCAGCGTCAGCAAGGAAGCGGCCAACTGAGAGCCGATGTGCATGTTGACGGCACCAATTTTGTCTGAGAAATGAGCCAGAAGCATACGTCCAACGGTTGAGGCACCGTTGACGATGACCAGAAGCCAGAATGTCTGCAAAGGTTGATCGGTTGGGTTCTTGGGAGCGATTGGCGACCTGACCCGTTCACGAGTGCCAAATCCGCGGACTGATGCCCACTGGTAGACGTTAACTGATGAACTGGTTATGGAGAGGGGAAAAGACTTACTTCCTCAAGATTGAAGAAGACAGGATAGAAGCCAAAGAACATGAAAGCAATACCAGCGGTGAACCAGCACCAGGCTTTGTTACGGAAAGCTTCCATGTCAACCCATGTCCTGATATTGCACCATGTCTGTGGTGTATGATGCTCGTGGTCTGGGTCTGGAGTGCAGAAGATGAACGAGAAGATACAAGTCACCGAAGTGAGAGTCGCAACATAACGGACAGCGTCGTTGAAACCAACAGCGTCGATGAGGTAACGAAGCATGGTGGGGTAGATTACACCAGCTACGCTAGCACCGCAGGCAACGTAGCCTACGGCAAGTCCTCTGCGTTTGGGGAACCACGTGGAAGCAACTGGTGTCAAGTTAGCGGTAGTTTCGATACGAATCAATGAAGTCTGCTTACCTTGAGAGCTAGATACAAAGAAAGTTGCCATGCCGATGCCAACAACAAAGCCCTGAGTGGCCCAAATAGCGCCAAAGCTTGCCATGCCTTCGATGTCACTGGGGTGTACAACACTAAGCATGAAGAGACCAAACGGTACGAGGAACGTGCCGCATCCAATCACCTTGCGGAAATGTCCGGCATCTAGTAGTCGTCCAACGACGTTGGAGAACAACAGTACAAGTGCAGACTCAGTCGATCCCACCAAGTTCAGTTCGAGCTGGTCAACTCCTCGTAGGGAGTGCCCGACGTAGTATGAAGACCAAGTACCATAAGCGTTTACAAGGCCCCAAGAGTTGAACATGAGAAAGAAGCAACCTAGCAGGCATGCATAAGCACGCCACGAGCGCGGCCACTCAGCCTCATGCAGTGCGTCGAGGGAGGTTATGGGGGATTCGTTTCGCATAGAGCTGGTGGCAGTTGGAGCTTCCGAGAGTGGCAGGGTTCTCTCGCTGGGCTTGTAGCCCTGCTGGTAAGGGAATTGGAATTTTTTCATGGTGAGGGTAGTTCCTGTTCCTCCAGAAAGGTGAGGGGGGGAGCGGAAAGAATGAACTGAAGTCGAAGAAAGCGTAGATGTGCTATGTAACAAGGTGCTCAACACAGATAGTATGTGTTGGAGGGGACGCGCTCGAGTGCGCGCACTAATAGTGGGATATTACAGTTTGACCCAAGAGTCAAAACGGTGGGAGGAAAGATATAAGTACAATACGTAGGCTCGAGCCAGTCATGGATGTGGGACAAGGGCCTAAGGCACCGATTGATAAAGGGTTCTTTTACGGCTCCACTTCTGCTAAACACACCCGCAGCTCCCGCGTAAAGTGTGGCTGGCTTTTCCATAGTGACGTGGTAGTCAAACCGGCCGTGTGATGGAGGGATTGAGTGCCGTCACGCACAAGCACCGCAAGGGTGCAAGACCAAGAGAAGCCAAGGCAAATACGGGCTTTGGGAGTCCGCCATCGACAGGGTATATTACATTACCTTCCTAGAGACTCCCGGTTCGTGCGGCCCAAAGCTCAGAGCTAGTCTAAGTGCTGATTTGGTGGTAATGATCTGCGGACGAGGACGTTCCAGCGCTGGCTGCGTTTGGGCTCCCACGCAGTCGACTGTTGTTGCGAAGCGGCGCCACTTGCAACAAGCGATAAGGCTGTTCTCTCCGTGCTGTTTGCGACCTGACTCGTCATCTCATGGGTGCTGTGCGCTACACTCAGCGGCACTGCGCGGAACTGGGTGCAGCTAACCACGGTACGTAGTTTGTGTAGCGATGCCATGATTCCCTTTACAATCGTCGACATTGCTCGCAGGCTGTGCATCCTTGGCCTGTTCCACAAAAACAAAGGTGCCAATGGGTCGTGGACGTTGTGTAGAGTGTGATAGGGGTTGAGGCGCCAAACAAAGTTGCGTTGGACGGCGGAGCGGGTTGTCGTCGCTTGGCAGCGTGTCAGCGGGAGGCTCGAGGATGCGGCTCGATTGGATCGGTAGGATGCACAAGGGCCAAGAAGTGCCCAAGTAATGATGTACAATTCCGCCTTGGCCTGGTCCACATATTTTGCCAGGGTTGAAATTGAGTCTCCTGCAGCTATTACCGCTGGCGACTGCTCGAGCTCTGGGCAGCATCAGCACATGAGCACACTCGACGTTGGCCATACGCAGGCAAGGTGACCCCCCCGTGAGATGCCCAGAAACACCTCTGAGCAAGACGGCGGGAGTTTGTCCGTGGCTCTTCCAGCCCAAAAAGCGCACTAAATCTGGCGGCGTAACAAGATCGGCGGCCCGGCGCAGCCTGTTGCTTCGTTATCTTTAGTACTTGGTTACAGCACAGCCACAACCGCATGCTACTAGGCTTAGGGATCGACGTCTAGGGGTGTTTCGCCAAACATCAACCCCAAGTGGCTTGCGCCCCACGCTACACGGCGATGATTTGTTTTTTCTGTCGCAACAACACGAAATAGTCATCGCCTAGAGATAGACATACCAAGGCCATGAACAAACGTTGTACGTGTCTCACTAACCTAGGCCCGGGCGACTGCAAGCTGCAGAGGGCTCTTCACCGCACACTGCAATGACTAGCTGAGCGATATACAATTTCCCTCGATTAGCCGGCAGCACCAGACCCACATGATGTTGTTAGAGGGCGTATGGAGAAAGGACTTGGGCGTTCTGAAAGAGTGGGGAGTGCCATGGGGAAGATGATGAAGGACACGGCAAGTCTGGAGATCAGCGCCGCTATGCTGGGAGAGTCTGGTTGCCAAGTCGTGAGGATGTCCTGGCTGGATAATTGCGCCTTCACGAGACTTTGGCCTAGAAACTACCCCGATCAAGCCGGATATCCTGTTTCGAGACGAGCGCATGGCACGGTTTCCAGTGTGACGCGGAGACTGGTACTAGCCCGAGATCTTCCTAGGTTTTTGCAGATCTTCTGCTTCAAGAATCACGACCCAATTGCCGGAACAAGCAAATCCTTCTCCCGCGGCCGGCCAACCGTCCTCCACGTTTTACGAAAGCAACTTTATCTTAGCACATTCGGCCGTTGTGCTGTTTCGTAATGGCCGGACTTGCCGTGATAGCGGTCAGTTGGCCGTGTCACCCTCCACGCAACCAAACTAGCCTCTTGGGATGATGGCGAAGCACATGTGTTTGCCCTCTCTGGATCCATTCGCTACGTCACTGGTGTTCCACAGTAGGTCTCGTGGGCAAGGGATTTCTGGGCATTAGGGGTCTTGACGCCTTTATCGCGAAGTGACCACGGACCCAGAAGTTGCATCCTAGATGATATCATGAACCTTGGGTGGCGGTGAGTAGATGGCGAGGCTAATCCTCATGTCTGAGATCTTCGACGTGCGGCCCGCTCAATTTGGCGGATGGGGCGCCATTGACATTGATAGATAGGTCCCTCAGACAGTTCGCACCAGACCGTTGGTAGTACAAGTGTCATGTAACAGTCGCCGGGCAGTTCTTCGCTTCAGAGTGTTTGAATCAGTCATATGTTTTCAATTGCTCGTTCGGGTTCGTCCAGTTTCTTTGCACAAGGCAGTGTCAGAGATTTGGCTTTGATGGATCCTCAGCTAGGCAGCCTATGCTCTTGAATTTCTTGTGAAGTATGCAACTATAGCATTGGCCAAAGGATCTCTCAGACGGCGGCTAATGTGTGCCTGTCTGTGCCAGGGAGTCTATCCAGAACAAAGCTCAAGACGAAAAATTAAGCTCAGGTCAAAGTTCTCGTGTCTGTCATGGACACAAAGCGAGGCAGATCAAGGCAGGGCAATCTCCCGCCTGAGTTTGCTGATCAGGAGATCGGCTGTAGCTCCTATGGCCGCACGTGACCTTGCCAAGACATCGACGAAAAACAAAACACCGCCCTCAGAGTTATCTCCAGGCCCTATTTTCTGAATGCATCTCGAAAGGGCTGCCTAAAGCCTAATCCGCAAACCCACCAATTGCGCAGCAGTAAAAACAGGCAAATACGAGCGGAACGCCACACGGAGCCGCCAGGGGTAAGTCTTGGGGCTTCATGCAGATTCTGTGTGTCAAGATCAGCCCACCTAGAGACGCTTCCTCTGGGCGCCATTCCGCACCCATGCAATCGCAGATTCAAACTGAAGGGGCCAGGGGCGGAGCGGAATCTCGGAAACAATCAATTCCACTTGGGCGCAAATGCTACCCATAAGCTCACGATAAGAAATAGCAAGGCTGAACCAATTCGCCGCGCTTCATCCCAGGATCTCTGTCGATCCAAGACAGCGCACACATCCCTGATCAATGTCAGCGCAACCGCCGGGGGTGGTGGCGATGATAGCGCGGCGAATCGGGTCGCTATAGCTCAACACGCTCTGACTGGAGGCGGAGCGGAAAGCACAGCATTTGCCCATGGCGCTTCCACCCGAGTCGTATTCAACACTATGCGACGCAGGGATGCGCACAAGCATAAGCATCGGGTGTATACCCGCATGTTGGGCACCGGAGCCGCTTCACTGGGCTTCTGACGTCGTCTCAGGCTGTCAACAGGATCAATAGGCTCGCCGGTATGCATGGCCAAGCAGCCGCCCGGCGCCTTACAGGGCAAAGGAGATGAAAAAGCTCGAGAAAAGGAAATTGAGGGCTTGCACAGCCAGGGCTGAGCAGGCTTTGGTGGCCGACTTCCATCGTGACAATTGTCACTTGTGAAAGGGTGTGTCCAAACACACCCACCCACGCTCATGGATAAACAAAACACCACTTCGACTTTTCGGATTACTTTTTGTCCGGTGTGTTTTTGCCTCTCCATCTTCCATCCTTTGCCTCGGTTATCGACTTGGTATTTCTCTTATCGTGCATACGCATAGGACCGGAACAAGCAAGCTCAGAACCGAACACCGTCACGATTGTCGTCACGCCTACAAAAAGAACCCCGTCCATTTGCCGTTCTGTTACGTGTTCTATTCTTTCCTCTGCTGAGTCTAGAAGACGGCCGCGCACGAACGTGTGCAAACTATGACAGTACGCGCGTCACGTACATGAGTTTGCCGAAAAGGCTACAGCAGGTATGCGTGGCCTGATAACGATATGTTCTACCAAGGCGTCATTCATGTCCGTTGGATGATGTAATGAGGATAACGATGCGTCGGGCCGTGGGGGCAACATTGGCTTGCCTACTCGATAAGCACACAGAAGATGTTCTCCCGACTGTAGTTTTATGTAGGCCACTTGACGTATACGCGACCTTTCAATTTTTGTAAATTTCACTGTGTAGATTGCTTCACACACGCTTATGTCTGCTGTAATAGAAATAGCTTCTTCACTTGGGATTGCCTTACTCTATCTCTGCTCCTTTTTTTCATTGGGTTTCTTTTCTATTTCCATCTCTAACTTAGCAGAACCTTCTTCTCCTGATGTTTTTGCAGTTTTTTATTAATACCATCCCGTGTAGCCAGTATAGCTGAGCTTGTTCACTGACACTTATCGTGGAATGACTCTTACTAGCGGATATGTTGTGTATTCTGGCCAGCATGTCTGCAGCATGGATCTATTTCCATCTTCCTGAGTCGTCTCATGCAGCCATGGCTCTTAACCCCAAGACAGCCAAGGCCAAATATGCATTACACAGGTTCGGCAGTATTGTGTTAAAAAAACTACACCCCTGAGACAGCGCATCTAGGGTCCTAAGCCGCTTAAGCAACTGGGAATAGACTAACCGATACTCTAGAATGGATGTAGCACAGTTATGATATTGTAGTTGGCTCAGCCCAGACAACTGCACGGGTATGTGCAAATATGACACCGGCTCCTTTACACGGCGATCAATCTCGCTTCTACAAACAATAGATTCAATGCCTGTGGAAATAACATGGGCTGCGCCATCTCGTCGCTTTCAAAGTATACCAGAACAACCTTTGTAAACCAATCACAAAATTTGTCACTGCTGCTCCTTGCAGGTGAGACTTTAACGCCGAAGCGACATTCCCGCGGATGTCGATTTCTGAGGCATGCCTGAGTTGGCAGTGGGACCTGGTGGCGCTTTTTAACTTTGAAGACTAACGCGAATAAGACCGCGTCGGTAGATATGTACCTTGCGTTCACTATCTTATGTAAAAGCTGTGGCTATTAAGATTCTATGGATATCCAAAGTTTTTCAACTCGATTCTTACACTCTATTTCCACGTGCACCAGGCACACGCAAAAACAACACCAAAGCAGCCGACAATGACTATCTATCTATTCACACCACCTGTCGCACCTTCTCGATCCAGCCAAAACTGTTCTTAATGCGTCAGGAAATTCCGCAGTATATGGCACAGTGGAGTCAGGCATCCCGCAAATGATCTAGCACAGCACCACCCTCCCAGCCTCTATTCATCGCCCTGGGTTGTTTGATTCCCTTTTCCATGACCGCAATGGCACCTCTGCTCACACGCACCTAGTGGTGTTTATCTTATCCTCACACCTACAAGCATGGCATTGAAAAATAATAGCGAAATACACGTATCCGAGCTTGGTTTACTGAGGCTAATGAAAGAAAGGGAAGAAGAAGAAGAAGAAGAAGAAGAAGAAGAAGAAGAAGAAGAAGAAGAAGAGGGAACAGAGAGAGACAATGGCAAGATCGACACCACACCATCCTCGAGTCTCTCCGTGCAGCAGACTGGTGGATATGTGAAATCATCAGTCTCGCAGTTTCCGGCGGATCACTCACCGCAATGATTCTTCTCCTAGCTTCGCTCAACGATAAACCACTGCCGTCGTGGTCATTTGGAGATAGTAGCAATTGCGTGGTTTCGCCTGGATCGACTACTACTAGCGGTAAGTTGATGTGTCGGCAGGTAGGCATCTCGGTCAATGCTGTAGTGTCCTGGCTGGGGATGCTGACGCGATTGTGTTTTTTGGTGCTGCTGTCGAATGGACTGGGGCAGATGAAGTGGGCGTGGCTTGCGAGACCGAGAAGCGCGAGAGCGCTGCTGCATATTGAGACGTTTGATGCTGCGTCAAGAGGGGTTCGTTGGGGGAGTATGCGGCTTCTTTGGAAGATGAAGAGTCAGGCTCCGTGAGTTCTGCTTCTTTCCTTTGGGTTGTTCAGTGGAGGCCTGTTTTTGTTTTGTATTCGGATCCAGATTGACTGACCAGATACTTCTTTGGGTCTCAGTTTTCTAGCAATCCTGGGTGCAGTTGGTATCATCTTGAGCATCGGTGTCGACCCTTTTATCCAGAATCTCGTAAGCTACTACACGAGACCTGTCCCAGATGTGTCACAAGTGGCTTTTTTTATCGAACAATACTTTCTACCAAGGTTCTACCATTGTGTATTCGAAATGTAATCCAGTCCGTCCTTTGCCCTGTTGACTAGTGGCGTATCACTGACAGGACAAAGTGCGTTGGGCCTCCCCTGCTATGATGTAAAATGCATCCGCAGCGCTATATAGCTCCGACTCGAACCAATACTGGTCCCAGCCACGCTACGAATGCAGTTCAGGCGATTGTACATGGCAGGCGGTAGCAAGCATAGGGATGTGCGCCTCATGCGAAGACGCGACAACGCTCGTATCCAAGTCGTGCGACACCACCAAAGGCACATGCACGCTCTCTCTCTCCAAGAGTCTAAAGACGGGAAGCGATCAGGACTAAGCCTCACGTATATTTACAAGGAACCCGGCGGCTCGCAACTCGGCACTTACACAGCCATGACGAGCAGTGGCACTGACTTATACGATCTCACCCCAAACAGCATCGCCTCCATCTATCTCAACATGGATCCAAATCCGACATCCCTCAGACCACGGTGGACAAAGGAACCAAGCTACACAGCCTCCCTATGCAGCGATATGGCACGGTAATCTAACAAACTGCGCATACCCCGATAACCGCGTCTCGTGCGCTGTGAATCTCGTAGCCAAAGCGCTGTCGAAGACGATGCGCGATGAGCCGTTTTTATCGCACCGGGGATAAAGGGGTGAGAGGTGCGGCGACGAAAGAAGGTATTCATGTGCGGGTGATGTGGTATTGGGCTGTGCTGCCGGTGCTTGTGTGGGTGCTTGCTCTGTGTGTGTTTTTGGGTATGGTGGTGCGAGAGAGGGGCGAGCGGTGTGGGTGGTGGAATAGTTAGTTGCCGGTTGTTTTTATGGGGGTTGAGGGCGTGCATGGGGGATGGAGGAAGGGGGTAAGGAGTAAGGAGCTTGAGCGGAGGGCGAGGGGGATTGAGGGGAGGGTGCGTGTGAGGGGTGAGGTGGTGTTTGTGAGGGGGTAGATGGGACTTGAGCAGAGTAGGATGCGGAATTTTATCTTGTCTATGACTTTCAAAAGTCTCCAAGGTCCCGTGCCTAACTTCCTTTTACGCATCTTTGTTCTCTACCAATCCTGCTAATAGAAACATACATACTCCTTGTCTTCTTGTGAAAATCAATGTGGACACGAGGGCTTAGAAAGAGAGTAAACATGAGTGTTTAAAAGACAAGTAGATGTAAGTACTAGCGTGGTGACTTTTATCTGTAAAAAGATAAGGTTAGAAGATGCGATAGAACGCGTATAGTGGGTAGTCGAATAGCGTGTCATCGATAGATTCAAAAGAGACTAAGAGTGGATCGTTGAGGGGGCTAGTTAGAGAGGGTAGGTAAAGCGAGGGTGGACACGGATGCGGTGAGGTGACTTTATATCCGTGGATAGATCAAGTCGGAAGATGCAAGTAACTTGACCCACATGAACACACATTACCCTTGTTTAAACCAACATGACGTATGCATATTGAACTTGAAATAAGTTTATGACTGTATTTATCATTATCAAACTCTAGCTAGACCTTGGTGCGTGCAAGCAAGACTCCAAACAAAGTGACACCTTCGCTCGCTAGAAAGGGGACGAGAGAAAACCTCCTTCCATGATATAAAAAAGAAGAAGAAACGCTCCAAATGGCTCCGAGAATGAGAAAAGGAGGAAAGTTCTTGGAAAAAACATGACTAATCGCATTCCTCCGATATCGCAGTGAATGGAGATTCTCCAAGGACGATTGGGAAAAGCAAGACAAAAGGCAAGATGGTAGAGAGTTGGAAACAGACAAAACACAGTAGAGCTGCAGATGATGAGTGGCAAGGACGCATCAAATCGCTCGGGAAAAAAAAGTGGGCTAAAGACATGTCGACATGGTATACACGCTTCCTCGCTTGATTCGCAAATCGCCTCAAAGAGAAGGTGGTAGTAGTTGTGATGGTGGTGGAGGCGGTGATGGTGATTTAGACACCCTTGATGGCAACGGTGCGCTCGCTGTTGAGCTTATCGGCATTGCGCGAATGGCTCTCCTTCTTGCAGTCCTCCAGACCCTCGCACTTGTGGTCCTCGAGCATGCGGTGCTTGCTGCAGTGGTGACCGGTACAGAAGCCACAGTCGCCGACAATGGGCTGGGCGCGATCCTTGCAGTCCTTGAAGGAGCAGCGGATCTTCTTGGGAGGCATGCCACCGCGCAGGGGAAGGGCGAGGTGCAGGGTTGAGTTTGGGCCGATGGCGTAGTCGGAGAGGGTGGTTTCTGGCGACGAGAGGTGCTTGCCGGCGTGGACTATGCGCAGATCCGAGGGGCTGTGCAGGTTGGTGCGCAGAGCCAGGAGGGAGCGGAGAGTGCGTATTGAGGTATTTGAAGGAATGGTGAGTGGGATTGCTGTGAGGCGACAATGTCAGTTCTTTGTTCGGGCATTGTTTGGTAGTGGGTGTGCTGGGACAGCGGTGGTGGAGATGAATGGGTGGGTGTTATGCATGCTGCATGTGGTGTTCCGAGGTTATCGGAACGACGGGGGGAGGCTGGAAACTTACTGTTGTTGCCGGACACGGTCTTGACGAAGATCTGCATCGTCTCCTCGGCGTCGGAGCTGGAGGAGCTCATGCTGCTGATGCTGGAGGAACGGGCCATGGTTGTGGTTGTGGTTGTTGTGGTTGTGTAGTGGAGAGGAAGCACTGTGTGGCGGTATATATATAGAGAGAGAGAGAGAGGAGGCAGCGAGATGGAGGAGAGACGGAGTAGTAGAAAAGAAGACGGGTTGGATGATGTAGGCGACGAGAGGTGATGACGTGGGCGCGGCGAATCTACGGACAGACGGTGTCGAGGGTTGTGACGATCAAGAGGTGAGGAGGAGGAGAAAGAAGAGCATGTCGAGCCGGAGCAAGGTGACGCAGGCCGGGGCTCTTTAAAGAAAGGCTCGCGAGAGGGCCATGCATGCTGTCACCGGGCTGTTCTGCCTGCACACACGACTCGAGCCGACAAGCGTTCGCAGCGCCTCTTTCGCCTCTTTCGCCTCCCTCGCCGCCGAATGCAGGGCGGGTGCCACTAGCCGGCCATGGCCCATATTCGATAGTCTTCCCTATCCATCCCAGCCCCAGTGAGGCGATTTGGCCCATATGCCATGATTATGCCTACGGTATGCCTAGGCCCCATTGACTTGCTTAGGTACTATGCCCATGCTACCACCAGCACGCCATTGTCACCATGTCTGTCTGCAATTCATCTACCATGTACACCAACTACTTAGTCAATACTACGCGTCCAGACATGATGATGATCCACATGTCGGTATACGTACTGCACACACATATCATCTCCATCCCATCAGCCATGTACAACTCATCGTGCTCGCCCGACTTGCCTGCCCTCTGCTCTGCATGTGACACGTTTCGCCGCCCTGCCTCAACTCACTCGCCGCCCCTGGTACCTGTGACAACAACACCCACACCAGCAACACCACGTCGACCACGACACCCGCTCATATCGAATGAGGCGCCTGAACCCGCCTGCGCCAGTGTTTGCGATCGGTGGACTGTGCAGTCCAGCCTTGGCCTCTCGACACCGTGTGTGCCACTATCTGCGTAGCCTCGTCGTCCAACACCGGACCCACCCCGCGCCCCTGATTGGCTCGACGCTGCATGTCACCTCTCCTCTTTTGTCCGCCGTCTCATCTCGTCTGAGATGACTATGTCCTTCTTTATATGCCCTTGTGTACGTCTATGCTACGTACATACTACATATGTACATATATCCTACTTACATACACATACACACACATACATACCCGCACATGCACGTCGCCCTATGCTTTCGGAGTACGCTCGGCCTCCACACACACACACCCCCATACCCCCAGCCCCAATGCTGTCATCGGCCAGGCACATAGTCTTACATACACATGTCGTTCCCCATTGCCTGTGCACACCCACCCGCTCGGACTCGGCCTGCATCACCCCATCCCTGGTACCCGAACACACGACCCTCCCCCCAACAAGGCTCCCCCCCCCCCAGCCACTTGATGCATCGCCCTCGACCTGCAATGTTACCAATTTTGCTTCTAGAATCCTTCCAAACGCCACTCTTCCCCTCGAGCTTTTAAGGTTTGCAACCCAAGAAGAAAAAGAAAAAAAATTGCCCTTCCGCATGTGGCACTGCTGACAGGTGCCATTCAACGAACGCCTCCATTTTTGGGGGGCTGGTACCCTAAATTATATACATTACACCGCCTCACACGCTCTTCATTCGCCCGGGTTACGCCACCCAACAAAAGGTCGACCATGTAAAGGTAACACGCCCATAGCCTGTCTAGAACCATGGTTCCCAAACTACCACTCTCTCTCTCTCTCTCTTCATCTACAACATGCTCTTTGGGAAGTTCTTCATGGCCTGTCGAACGCCCAGATCGCCCAAAATCTCCTCGGTGCCGCCCAAAATGGCATCAAACTTGTACGTGCGGTGGAACTGCTCAATCACCCGTCCCATGCCGCTCTGCGTGAGTCCTCTGCCGCCGAAAATGTTGACGGCCTCATCGGCAATCTCGTGCGCCGACCGTGTAGCATACGACTTGAGCAGACCAATCGGCCCGCCCAGCAGCTTGGATTGCTGCGCGTACGACATGTGCGTCATCTGATACGCAATCGACTCGAGCCAAGCCTGGTTGGCCTCGACGTGCGAAATCATTTTGGCAAGTCTGGTTCTGGCTGTCAGCTATCTCCGTCCAGTCTAGTCTAGTAGTGTAGTGCGAGTACTTACTTTTGCCGGATAGCGGGCTGCTCAATGAGCTTTTTGCCAAAAACGATGCGTTGGTTGCACCACTTGAGACATTCCTCGACCACGGTTCGCGACTGCCGGATCACGGCACAAGCCATCATGAAGCGCTCGTGGTTGAAATTGCTCATAATCACAATGAAGCCCTTGTGCTCCTCGCCCAGCAAGTGCTCCACCGGCACCTTTGCATCGTTGAACTCGACAAATGCCGTGCCCGCCGTCGTCGAGTAGCTCGTCTTGATCAGCTTCGTCTCAACCGCCGCATCCCGCTCCACGAGCAGCACAGAAAAGCCCTTATCCGTCCGGCACCCGACGACAAAATAGTCGCTGAACATGCCGTTGGTGATCCATTTCTTAGTGCCCCGCACAATGTAGTGCTTACCGTCTGCCGTCTTGGTCGCCGTCGTCCTGATACCAGCGACATCCGACCCAGCAAACGCCTCGGTAATCGCCAGGCACATCTTCTTCTTTCCACTCAACACCTCATTCACCACGCGCGTCTTGAGCTCCGACTCGGGCATCCACTGCAGCACAGCCGTCAGACTGATCGTCATGCCCGACATGTTTCCGTCCTGGAACCCACGTGCATTCGCACGCACGCCTTCCTGCGCCTGCACGAGATCGTGGAGATAGTCAAACTCCTCGCCTTTAACTACGCCCAGCAGATTCTTGCCGTGCAGATGCTTTCCAGGTCCCAGACGCATGGCCAGCATGTCGTTTGCCGCCATCTTGTCAATCAGCTCCTGGCTAATATACGTGCCGTCCTTCTCCTTTTGCTGCGCCTCGGGCGTAATATGTGTGTCGACGAACTTGCGAATCTCTCTCTGCAACGCGCGGTGGCTCTCGTTAAAGTACGGACTCTTGAACTGCGGTCGTAGCCACAGCGGCTCTGCATACGGTACTGGGCTCAGCTCGCCAGGCTTCTGGATGAGGACCTCTGACTTTTCGCCTTCAATAGTGCCAATGCAGAGCTCGCTGTACTTCTCGAGCACCTCCTGCCGGTGCAAGTTGTAAAAGGCGGTCGTGGCATCTTGGCCTGCTACCTGCTCGAGCACGACCGAGCCACCGGGGTGCGCATCGACGAATTCGCTGAGGTCGTACACCTTGTGGTCAATGATGCACCACAGGTCATCAGGCTTGTTATGCGAAGCAACCGACTCGCGTGTAAGCGCTGCGTGAGGCATGGCGGGCGGAGTGAGTAACTCGGGAATATAACCGTAGATAGGACGAAACGAAGTCAAAGAAAAAAAAAGCAGGAGAGAGAGAGAGAGAGAGAAGGAATCAAAGAACAACGCGAACTCCTTTAGAGTAATAAGAGATCCGGCTTCCCCCTCTCCTTTGCCAATACATCCCTCTCCCCTCCCCCAAACCTCGGTTCGGTCCTCTCCTTCCAACGCAAGCTAGCCTCCGTTCCCTCCACGTCGTCTGCCTTGCACTTGCGTCAAAAGGTGGAGCTCTGGGGAAGATGCCGAGGTCCGCCGAACGACCCGGGTGCCGTAAGTCTATCTCGCACCCCGCTTATTGGTCCGTTGGGGGACCCAACCAGGACGCGTCTGCGTCCAAGCATCAATCCGCGACTGGGGATGGGGGATTCTTTTCATAAATTGGTAATCAAACGAGGGGGGGAGCTTTGTGCATGTTTATCCTGTGTTTTGAGAGTGCGTGTTTTTTTTGGAGATTGGGATCGACTGAGATCTTGCCGGGGGGGCTTTTTGTGTTCATGTTATATGTGACTACGTAACGGCATGTGGATCTCACCCAGCGTGTTTGTTGCTTTAATCTACGAATACTCATTCCTCACAGTAGGCATTATTACTCAAGAGAAGCTTCATTGGGAAAAATCACCACAAAAAGGCGGTTGTTATGTTAGTTGCTATGGGGAAGGGGGTCCATGGCGATACTAGAAGCAGCAGGGAAGAAGGCGTACTACGCTTTTTCGCGTTTATAAGCAGGGACATTGTATACAACCCCTAAACTCAAGCACAGTACCTATACGAAGTCATGCATACCTTTGGCAAAACAAGTCAATACATTCTTCATCTTAGCCATAATACCATTCTACCCCTTACAACCCGAACCCACATCGTCTCATCTACCCTGAAATCCGTCATATTCCCTCGTTACCAATCTCAGCAAAACCCACGTATTTTTACACTAGAAGATATGCAAGATACCCGCCTCGTCACCCGCCGATCAGTCTTCCATTTTCTATATGGTCTGGTGTAGGCGATGCTCTGATGCTCCAAAAATGCATACATGTATAAACACCTCGTTTAAGTTAGCAACTGGTATTACTCATTTCCTCAAGTCCGTCATGTTACTTGGATCTTCGATATCACAGAGCCACACACTAAAAAAAGACTCGCAACATACAACTCACGACACCACGCACAAAACTAGCCATGGTTTGAATTTGCTTTTATATTCTCCACTACAGCCAACCCAACCCAGTCTATCCATAAACGCACACGGTGTGAAGAGTGGTAACAGGGGATAATGGCGGGAAAAAAAGGGGGAATGTAATGGGCATATGTGTAGTGGGAAGGGGGAATCTGTGCAGAAAACATAACGTGTCACTTACCCTAAAGCCAAAACCGGCACCCTGTTCCTTTCCCATGTTAGAGGAAAAAAAGTGATATCTATATCATCATCCTTCTCCTACAACTAGCGTGGCTTCAAGCCACCAAGATGCTTGCGTTTTTGTCCGCTGTGCTACGTCCCCAATCAAACGCCGTTCATGCAACATGTCACATGTGCTTCATTTTCGTCATGTGGTCGAGTCAAAACTGACCATTGTGTCATGCCTTTTTAGCTAAAGTACGCCTGCGCTGTGCGCTGTTGATCTGGGGTCAAAGACGCGGCAGCTTGAGCCAGGTCGGTACTTGTGGCTTGAACCAGAGCTTTGACGGAGGCGACTATGCGGTTGGCAGTCTGTCCCTGTAGAGTCTCGGCTTCAAGGGCGTGGACCACATAGTTGAAGATCTTAGCAGGTTGAGAAAAGACAGCCTGGTTTTGCCTAGGAGGTTGTCAGCATACATGTGTTCTCCAGACAATGACTATACTTACTGCTCAATCAACTGCACCAAGAAAGCGTACGCGTATGGTGCAGCCTCCTCGTCGTTGGTGATTGGTAGCGTATCTATCCAGGCCGCAGCAACATTGTCCCAGTTCTGGACCTTGCTCGCGTTGTAGTGCAAGATCTTAGCTATCGCAGCTGAAGCATTCTCGGTTGCGAAAATGTCGTCATCAGTGCGGGCGTTTGGTCGCTGGGTGACATTGAAGAGTGTCGGCAGCGATGCAGCGACAAACTCCGACCAGTTCTCACCACCTTTGTGAGCGGCAACACCCACACCATATACTGCTGCCTGACGGTTGGCTGGCACGTCGTCCTGCATGCCATCAATGAGTGGCTGCATGATCTGGTCTTTGTATTGCCAGGACTCTGGGCCACAGAATTCAAGCACATCGTCGTATATGCAAATAGCCCACTGGCGCTGAGTTGGGTCCTGGTTGACGGCTGCCATACTATAGTACTCAATCAACACAGCCCAATGTGGGAGGAAAGCGGTGCCCATGGTCTTGAAAATGCTGTGGAATGCCTTGTTCATGTCGGAAAGCAGGTTCTGGTCATCTTCAATGGCAAAGAGAATGTCTTCAGACGCTTCCTCTCCGTCCTCGTTCTCGGCTTGCTCTTCGAGACGTTCCTTGACGCGCACGTTGTAGTCTTCAAGCACACTCCTAGCGGACTCGATGAAAGTTGTCATGTGTGCGTCGGTCAAGCAGTTTCGGCCAATGCACTCGAGGCATTCGTAGAAGCACTGGTACATCTCGGCCAGAGTATCAATAGCGGGCTCAGTGCTCAAGACTTCGAGCACGCGCTCCACTGTACGTTTCCAGAGGTCGCCCAATTGTGGGGACTCAGGGCCGTGGGCCTTCTTGTATGCATTAAGCAGAGTGGGCACACACTTGGCCGAGGCGACTCGAACAGGGTCGTGGAAGAAAAAGGCCAAACCTGGCAGGGCGATCTTCTCCATGATGTCGTTAACATATGGCTCGAAAGCGTCTTCCAGAACCTGGGCATAGATGACAATTAGCTCAATAGCCATGTGCTTGTCATCAAGAATGCTCGTCTTGATACCAATGACCTTGCCCTTGAGTGGCACGAGTTCCCAGCCTTCCTCGTCCTGGATCTGGGCAACCTGATCTTCGTCATCAAGCAACTGGATGTCGGCCTTGGCACCGGCCAGCTCAGTGAGTGGTGGAATGACGCCGGCGAGGAAAGGTACGAATTCGCGACCAAGGACACGGCACATACGTCCCCAGCAGTGAAGCAGATACGACGCCTGCGGGTCGTCAGGCTCGGAAACGCTGTTCTGGATACGTCCAAGGAGCTGGACGAGGTTGAGCGCATCTTGGCCCATCCGATCCTTGCCAACAGCAAGAGCAATGAGGGTGGCGCACTCCATAGCCTTTGCGCGGAGTAGACGGTACTCCTTGGACTGCTCTTCTTGCAATACGTTGAACAATAGCGGCATTAGAGTGTCGTAGTATTTGGAAAAGGCGGCCTCAGCAGAATCAGCAACAGTGGCAATGGTAGACAAAGCCTGCTCCTGGACGAAACGCTTGGGGCTTTGCAGAAGCATCAACAGGTGGTTCAGTAGCTGATCCAGATATGGCTCAAGAATGTTCTTCTCAGCCTCCTCGCAAAAGTTGACCAGAGCAGCAGCTGCATGTGCCTGTACGCGAGGTTCTGCGGATTCCAAAACGGGGATGATGTTTGGCAAGACAACCTGGTGGTACTTCTCCTGCATGGTTCCCGCAAAATCGGTTGACATTTGACCGACAGCGTTACAGGCGGCCCATCGAACACGGGGATGGGGGTCCCGAAGCGCAGGAAGTACGAGATCAAGGACCTTGTCGAGCTCTCCAACCATCAACTCGCGGCAGCCTTCGGAAATAGCTGAGATGGCCATGAGAGCAGCATGCCTGTCGCGCCAAGCCGAGGAAGTCATCATACGGGGGAGCCAATTGAAGGTTGGGGGCAAAATAGCCTGTCCACCAAGCTTGTTGGCCAAACGATCCATGCATTGCTCACCAGCGACATGGTTCGAGTCGCTCTCTTCATCCAACTGGTACATGTTAGAAAGGCGAAATTTTTCCAAGTGGACAGACTCACATCTTCTGAAACATTCCATTCCTCCGCATCGTCATCGTCAGCGCCGACATCGGTCATCAAAGACAGACATTGAGTGACCATGTCGTTTGTGAAATTTGGATCCTTTTTGCACATAACTGGAGCATTGTCGGCGAATGTAGCCATGAGCTCCAGCGCATTCTGGCGAGCGGTCTCTCCGAGGTCCTTGTCCTGGATTACCGAGATGCTGAACTGCACAAGGCTGTTAAACAGCGGCTTGAACATTTTTGGCGCCACTTCGGCCAGATCGATAAGAGAGATGAGAGCCTTTGTGAGCAGGTCTGCATCGCCGGAATCTTTAATCGGTGGTAGGATGTTGAGAATCTCGCCAATGAGTGAGTAGTACTTGGACTGCGCCTTCTTGGTGATGGAGCGGAAGAAAGAGGCGAACGCCTCAACAGAAGCAATGCGAACCTATGCACGTAAGTCGGTGAGCGCACAACACATGTACGAGTACTGACCGACGACTCGCTGTCGGCAAATCCACCCTTGAAGGCAGTCATGACCACATCTTCATGCTGCTTCTCGATGATCTGCGGGGTGGTTGAGAATATCCTAAAGGCGTTCTCGCGCTGTGCGGGGTCTTGCGACTGGCTGGCCTGGAACAAGGCGCCTAGCAGTTCCGGCCATGCGACACCTGTATGTTTTTTTAGACGAGCCGACAGAATGTGCATTGAGGTCTCCTACCTTCGTCGGTGTGCTGGCGGGCGAGCTCTGCTACGGCATCTCCCACCTTTGTCCGTACCGAGGTGTCGGTTTCGTTGGCCAGGCATTGGAGCAGCTTGGCGCGTATGGCCTCTCGCTCAGCGGGATTGAGGGTCAGGAACAGGTCGGCGGTCTGGCCTGAAGGTGCCTTTCGAGGCTTGGATGACTGTCGCCTGAAGATGACGGCGGCAAAGGTTCGTGTCTAGAGCAACTCCGTCAGCCCACAATGCCGGCCCCCCGCCAAAGACCCAATCTTACCGATGTATCCTGGGCCAGCTCAATCTGCTCAGAGAGACCCATCAAGAGCACTTCGGGCCTCTGGGCAACCCATTCTTCATTCAGCTGCTGCTCTGCTGCGGTGCGCTGGACGTTGTCGGGCGACTGGAGGCCCTGTAGCAGGGTGGCCAGCGCCGTGTGGACCTCTGCGGGTAGAACAGACATGTTGCGGGCGTGCGTGTGCGTGTGCGTGAGCGTGAGGTATCTTTGTGGGCAGGCGGCCCTATTGCATGTAGTCTTGCTCGCAAGCAAGGGCCTACCAAGAATGGAGCGGTGGTGGGTTGGCCGGTGAGTGGTTGCGGAGCGCGCGTGACGTGGTTACCGTCGCGCCTCTACTGCTGTGGATAGATGCAAAGCGCCCAAGTGTAGTGTTGCGGGCAGGTAAAGAGGCAACACAGCTTGGGGGTCTGTGAAAGTGAGTGTGAGTGTGAGTGTGTGTGCCGTAGCTTCAGGGTTGCCGTGGAAATTTCACAGCAATGTTTTGGCGGGGCTGCGTGCAAGCCCGCGCCCTTGTCCAAAAAATGTTGTCCAACCACGGGCAAGGATGCTCGTAGAAGGCTTGCCTGCCCCGCCTCGTCATTGGCTGGCAGCGCTGACCGGGGCTGTCTCAACACCGGCTTCTCTTCACCCACGCTCGCCACGTATATGCACATACATATGCGGCTGTGCCTGGCGTATGTTTGTGGCTGCATGCTTGGGTAGGCCATGTATATAAATTCGGCTACCCACATTGCTATCAATTACCCAGGGATCTATGGGATATCAAACTCTGACAAAGGAAATAATACACTCTCGCTGACGCTTCAATCTCTCCCCTACTGCTACACACGCTTCACCATCCATGTCTTTACCGGCTGGAAGCACGGCCAAGCACAAACACACCAACAATAACGACGGCTAGCACACCAATGGCACCAGGTAGCAAAAGATCGTTCGGGACACCAGCAATAATCTCGGGCTGCTGCGACAGTGGGATCGACTGGTGCCGGCCCCTCGATCTAGGCTTCTCGTCCGCGTCGTCGTCAAAGAACTGCTTGCGTTCACGAAGCGTAGACTCGGGTGGCGTGACGGGCTTGGACAGCCCTGGTTGAGGGTTGACCTCGGCAGACATGGGTGGCTTGTCAGGGTGGTGGACGAAGAGGTCGACCTTTTCGCGGTGCGCCATGCGTGACAGGCTGACGGCCTCTACAAGGTCGTCGTTGGTCGTGATGGAAATAGTATCGCCTTCATTGTCAAGGTAGCTTAGAGCAAAGCCTTCCCTGGAGAGCCTGCCGCCCTCAAAGCTCGGCGCACCTCCTAGGCTTTCAACCTCACTACCCAGCTTGTTGGCCACACTGTTGATGAGTTCCTCGAGACCAGAAGAAATGACTACCTGTAGGCGGTGGACACGCCCACTTGGAGCCTTGAACTTGAACGGGAATGGCATGTCTTCCATGTGAACAGGGTGGTTGCTAGCGACGGCAGACGGGGGCGGTGAGTCGTCTCCGTTATGAGATGCAGACTCATTTGGCATCACACTGTCGCCGCGATCCATAAGACCTGGACGGTCGTGGTGCGAGATGTACGAGCGGTGGTCAGGATGCCGGCTTCCTTCGCCAGACATGACCGACTCAGTCTCATTGTCAAGAGAGAGCCAGAACTTGTTCCATGCAGGGCCCTCACTATCCGTGGTGCTGATGTTGTTGATCTTTGCCTAGTTAGTGTTGCGAACATCTTCACCCAAGACTCCGACATACCTGATCAAGCGTAGCATAAGTCAGCTTGAGAACGTCCACCATGCCGACGATTTCACCAGCATCGCTCATAACTGGCAAATTGAGGTAGTGTCCATCTGTATGCTGTTAGTGCATGCATTAGACAAGGGTTCCCTGTAATCTGCGTACCATGCATCTTGCGCAGAGCAGATTGAATGCTCATGTCCACTGGCGCAAAGTCGGGGTGCGGAGTCATTACTCGCACAACACTGCAAGTCATCGGGTCAAGCCCCGCGGCAATAACACGGAGGACCACGTCCTTGCTAGTGAAGATACCAGTGATGGAGCCATTGTCCTGCACAAGAACAGCAGTTGTATGGTTCTCCTTCATGAGTGCCGCCGCCTCCTTGACCGAAGTGCGTACAGATACAGTTGTGGGAGGGAGACCCGTCAAGACAGATTCTAGAGTAGGGCCGGACATCTTCTGGCGAATTGCCTCGACATACTGAATAATCTGCTGCGGCTGGCTCGAGCCCATCTCTGCCTGCACACCTTCAAGAGCATCATACAATTTGCGAGAGGAGGCATACGCTCGCTCCAATTTCTCCATGGCATCGTAAAAGCACTTTGTGATGTCCAGAATACCTGAAATGTCATGGTTCTCATCCATGACGGGAAGGTGGCGGAAGCCCTTCCTGACCATGAGATCCAGCGCATCCGTCGCACTTGTATCAGTCTTTGCGCAAAGGGGGTTCTTGGTCATAATCTCCTCAATGGTGACGTCGCGAGCCTTGATGCCGTTGCCGACCACACGGAAAGCAAGATCCTTGGCTGTGAAGATACCCGCAATACGGTCATCATCATCTGTTACCAAAACGCAGTCCTCCCGCTTGGCCGCCATCAACTGTGCCGCCTCAGCGACCGTAGTCGATGGCTTTATTTGAAGTGCTGGGGATGGCTTCAGGGCGAGGACGGTGCCGGGCGGGGCTTTCTTGGAGGGCCGAACTCGTCCGCTAATATTCTTCTTCTTATTGAGGTCCGTCTCAATCTTTCGCCGAATGGCCTGTCGCGAAATCAGTATGCAGTCGCACACATGCAGCAGGGCCACTCACGTCGTCCCTCTTGGACATTTTGGCCCGGCTGGCGCTGAGCGAAGAGCCGCCCGCATCGCTCTGGGTGACATGCGAATGGTTCTCCAAACCAGAGGGGCGCGGGATGGCAGAAGGGCTGTGGCCGAGATGCTGTGGCTGGTTACGGTTCGAGTTTTTGGGCGTCCCCCGCATGGCACCAGTATGCGACATGGCGACGTCGTGTGCGTTGTTACTGCAAAGCTGGTTCTGCCTGGTTGGCGGAGGAGGGGCCAGTAAGAAGGATTCCAGCGGCCTATACGGAGGTCGATGTGGTTGCCAGGGTATAGCTGCTAGACGAAAACAATCCCTACATAGGGATCAAGCGCCTTGCCCAGACCGCCACTCACCACATTCCCAGTTTCCGCGGCACCTGACGTGTCCACGTCTCGTGCAGCAACAGGAATCGCCGCCATACAAGCAAGATCGCATCTCCAATCTCTTTCAAGTCATGTGTTCTGGTTTCCTGATCGGGCTTCTCGTGAGGCTGTGGTCGCAACAGACAGAAGCAGATGCACCACCCCTTTACACATGGAAAATTCACGCATTGACTCATATCTGCAAGCCTGCCTCCGTGAGACCACAACGCTTTTATCTTTTCGATTGCATATCGGAATATATCCAGTCTTCTCTTTCCCGATTTGACCCGTCGAGTGTTCTTATACGGAACAGTCATGAGCCCAAGACATCCGCTCTTTCACCTTAGTGACAATCATGTACAGTCTTGTTCAAGAAATGTAGTTGTCGTGCGTTAAACATATACATGGGACATCATAAAGGAAACTTACAATCACATGTCAGCGATAGTAAGCTCCGACTTTACGACGCTCAGACGGAAAAAATAGGGGCTACCATCGAATGACAGCATGCATCTGCAGAATTATGCACAGCATTTCGTCCACGCTCCAAAGTGATTCGGCGGTCCTCAGTTCACATTCGAGGGGAGGCAGTGCAGCCCCATTCGGTTAGCACCATCAGTGCCAAGTGATAAGATTAGATCCGCACCTCTCTAAGCGAATTTCGACACTCGTGCATCCCGACTTCACGAATCCGACGTCAGGAACGACTCTCACGACAACACCCCACTGCTGACTTTTAGATTCCACATCTTCAGTACGCACTCCGTGCCTCGCTCACCTAGACATCCGCTTACATCGTTCGACAGAATCAGCCCAACATGGTCAAGAAGCGAGCGTCCAACGGCCGTAACAAGAAGGGTCGCGGCCACGTCAAGCCCATCCGTTGCTCCAACTGCTCGCGATGCACTCCCAAGGACAAGGCGATCAAGAGATTCACCATCCGCAACATGGTTGAGTCCGCCGCCATCCGTACGTCTCCCAAACGACCCTCGCACCGCAGCAAACGGCCATAGACAGCGAGGTGGCGAGCGAAATTTGGATATTCAAGACTGACAAAACTAGGTGATATCTCCGATGCCTCCGTCTTCCCCGAGTACACTGTCCCCAAGATGTACCTGAAGCTCCAGTACTGCGTCTCATGCGCTATCCACGGCAAGATTGTCCGGTACGTGACGCCTCCACGAGGAATTGATGCGCCCATGTTCTAACATGCCCAGTGTCCGCTCGCGCGAAGGACGCCGCAACCGTGCTCCTCCCCCACGTGTTAGGTACAACAAGGATGGAAAGAAGATCAACCCCAACCAAGCTGCTGCTAAGACTACCACTGCTTAAGCGGGGCGCGGGTATGGAAAGGAATTGATCACGGCGCTTGGTGTGGGTCTTATGGTTCTTTCGGAGTGTCATACTGGAAAATGCATGAATCCACGGAAGATAGGGCAGGCCAAATGACGAATCATGGTTGAGGCTCGCTCGGAATTGCCTGCTTGAGCACCGAGAGCTAGCTATGAACTTGTAAACGAATATCCAAGTCGACTTGCACCATCTTCTCATTCGCTCTGGTGATGTACATGTGTTCGCTCGGCAGGGGTGGATACGACACCTAGCAGCAGGTCTTTTTTATCCGGGCTCCGAGGCTATGGTGGTTTTAGAGAGAGACATTTGCCTGGTGGATTGCGCGAAACAAGGTGACGTCAAGCATTTGCAACATACGTGGCGTACACGAGGAATATCAATTGCTGCAATAACAAGAGCATGTTTCCTTCCACCCCACCAGCGATGGTGAGATCCACATGTATCATATCAGTTTTGGCCTCAGTCACTCCGTTTCTTTCCGTCGTCATCGAGACTCTTCCTCCCGTTAGTGGCTTCAGGCTCCGTCGTCTCCCAATCTTCAGCATTTTCATCCCATCGATCGAGTTCTTCCTCTACCGTGGGTCTGACAACGCCTGACTCCTGTCCTTCGACATTCTCTCCCAACTCAATGTCTCTCTCTTCGTCTCCAGCAACAGCAGTGTATCCTCGTGCAGCTCGTTTGCGCTCGAGCATGCGCTTATGATACCAATTGCAAAGGCCTAGCGCGAGGAGAGAGCCGAGGACATTGGCTACGATGTCATAGTAGTCGAAGTCGCGATGTATCTGGACCGCGAGTTAGCTTTGCTCGTCATCTTCCCCGCTTGGAATCGTCCTATAGTGTCTATATGCGCACCGCTGCTCTCGGCAGCTCCGGCGACCTTGTATGAGTCCAGGGTAAACTTACAGGCAACAATCCCTGGATGACCTCACTGGCAAATCCCAGACCGAGCGTACAGACGGTAAAGGTTAGCTGCACCACCTTTCTCCTGTTTGTCTCGAGAATCCAGTAGAAGCAGAGGGTGAGCAAGAAGAAGGCTGTGAAGTGGAGCGCTTTATCCGACTGCTTGTACGTAGGGATTTTGTAGTCTGGTGGGGAAAAGCCCGCGGCTGCGCTGATAAAGATGAGGCCAATAAAGGCGCCTTGAGGGATGTTAGCATGGCCCTATGCAACTGTCGAGAGAGGAAATCCAAGCGAACAGCATGGACAGTGGGACGGTCAGGACATGGCCATCTCCTGCTCACGCATGTGCGCTGTGGTCGGAAAGGTGTTCAAAGCTCGCTGGCTCTGCGGCGTCCGAAGCTACGTACCAGCAAAGGGTTTCCGTATGCGCATTATGGGCAGGTGAAGTGGGCTAGGAGGTCCGGACGGGTGACTTCATGCTCACGGTACGGGAAAACAACTGTCAGACTCGGGCGCAGCGCGGAACTGCAACGTTCATGTCACAAGCTGGCATCTGGCGAACCTGGCCGTGGCCGGATGAGCTAGGCCCGGTCCGGCAACGTTACTGTCGATCACGTGTGGAACCTGTGAAAATCAGCAAACCTGGGGTACTCTGTGCTGGGCTCGTCTCAATTCGAGGATACATGCATGGACCTAGCTGAATGGCCTCAAGTAGTCCTGCAGTTGCAGGGGCGCTACTATGTACGTATGACAAGGCGGCGCTCCACAGGGCCCCAATGTGTTCGAATTACCACACCTTCGTCCGCACAGCCACTTGAACAGTCCTTTGGGCATGGCGTGTAGCATGGCCAGCAGTTGCATGCCTGGCTTTTGGTAGAAATACGAGGCATTGGACGTAGCAGACACAGAGTTACCATGGTTGCGCCCTGAATGCTAGTGCCGGCCAGCACGCTCAATCGCTTTTTGGCGATTGCATTAAAATACGCAGCAGCCCAGCAAAGGCTTTGCATGTGTCCTCGAAAGCATTTGCGCGCCCGCAACTGTGGTTGTGGGGGAAGTGTGGTGGCAGAGGCCGTTTGATATTGGGGCGTGGGTGAAGCATGGGGCTCGCGGCGGGAGCATCGCTAACGGAGCTAAGGCGTGCCTACCTAGCCAGACTGGACAGTTGGACCACCTGCTTAAGACAACGACGCCAAACTCACGAGCCGCATCTTCGGCCATCAATAGGCGCGCCCACACCACGTCTTTCATCTCGCAGCCATCAGAAATCCACTCGCTCGACGTAGACCTTCCTTCCATGCTTGATTTTATCGCGTCGCGACACCTGCACCAGGTTGGACGTCGCCCTGAAGGCGGGCCATCCCCGTGAGGCCGCGAACTGCCAAGACCCCCCCACAACCGACGACGACGACTATGTCCCTCGCTGCATCATCATCATCATGTCCGCCATCCTCGCGAGACCGCCCAAGCCATGCCCGCTTCCCGCATCAGCCTTCCAACGCGACCCACTTGCGAACCCCCAATGCGCCGCTGAACGATGAGGCCATGTCAAACGCCTCCAACGCGAACCACCTAGGGGACGGGGGAGACATCACGACTGAGGAGGACCCCCGAGCCACGCGCTGGCGAGACCACTATCGGCGCACCGAAGCGCGTCTGGCAGCAGTACTCGGAGGAACATTCGAGGGCGATGCTGTTGATGCTCTAGATAATGCGCCGGGGCCGTCATCCGATGATGTCCCGGCGGCGCATGACGCGCGACCGGCTATCACACCCAGAAAGCCAACCCGCGCAATTGACGAAGACGACTACGGCGACGACGACGATGAGGATGACGAAGACGATAGTCAGACCTCACCGCTGCAATCCAAAAGCGCGACCAATGGTGCCGCTGCTGCTGCTGCTGCTGCCACCACTCCCAGCACGCCAAGCCTCCTCCGCGTCCCATCCACATCGAACAAATCCGGCCACGACCGGACAGGCACACCCTCTTCAGACCATACAAAGTCATCAGACGATGTGCGAAAGAAACTACAACAAGACAAGAAGGCCGCCGAGGATGCCGCCAAGCGCAGCTTCCACACCCTTTTCTACACCCTCGAGAGCGACAGGGACGCGATGCTGGAGCAACAAAAGCTTGACGAACTCGACCGACAGGTAGAAGCAGAGACTTCTGGCGCGTCTGCTAATGCCCCAGCTGCTGCTGCCGCTGCTGCCCCCCAACAGGGGACCTTGAGCACCACCAACCTTGGCGCGTCCAGCCTGACCCTCAAGCACCTCATCTCGCGTATTGATGCCCAAAGAGACCGCGTCCATGCGACGGACGCGCAGCTGCGCAGTCTCATCAGCGAAGTCCGTAAGAATAGGAGCAAATGGGCCAACGAGGACCGTGTTGGCCAGGAGGAGCTATACGAGAGCACAGAGAAGGTTCTCATGGAGCTCAAAGCCAATGAGCATGCCCACCCGTTCCTCCAGCGTGTCAACAAGCGGGAAGCCCCCGACTACTACAACGTCATCAAACATCCGATGGATATCGGCACCATGATGAAAAAGCTCAAACA